TTGAGATGGAGCTCAATGCTTGGGGAGTTGCAGTGGGCGAAAGAAACTCCGAACAAACCGCGGACTCTCGCAGAAGTCACGCAAAGCCCTAGATTTCGGGTAGCCCTTAGAGAAGCAAGGTCTGTAGGGCTTAGCCTTAAAAAGGAGCCCTTGAAGAAATCCAGAATCATTTAACCCTGCATCAGTTGCTTCACCGAGCAGCAATGAGGCTGGCAACTCCAACCTTCAGCAAAAGCCATGGCGACGGGCTTCGGGTTCAGGGTTTACCAGAACCTTGCAGAACCTACGTTCTTGGTGTTCCTTCTTATGATTTGCGTGTATGCATCCTTAACAATGCAGGTTCTTTAGGGTTCAAGGTCTAGGAATTACACGGGCTTAGGGGCTTCGCCAGCATTGGGAGTTCAGGCTACAGGAAGAACAAGAGTTTAGGGTATGGCAGGGTTGAGGGTTTAGGGATCCCAAACTTCCTGAAGCATACACCCTGAAACCGCAAACCACAGGGATTTGCATGCAAAACCCTTCGCAAATCCTTGGAACCTTCAAAGAGCCCTTACAACACCCCCTTTTAGCTCCGGTGCATTCGGCCTCTTGTGAACCCATCGCAAACGCCAAACCCTAACCCAGATACCTCGAAGGACATGGAGGCCACGAAGGTGTAGATTTCTGGCCGAGGGTTTGCAAAGTAGTCGTCCTGCATGTTTGAACTGAAGCTTTCGGACCGGCTTTATGATCGCGCGACAGAGCTTATAGGGATCTGATAGTGCCGGTGAGTCTTAAAGCTTAGGGTAAAGGACCAAAGCAGGTTTTATTCGTGCAGCGGGGTATGGCACGAATTTGGCGCACCCACAGGCAAAGAGGTAGGAGCCATATTTCGGCTGTGGGAAAGCAGAACATCAGTTGTGGCTTCTATGCCGGGCTTTTAACCGGTATGGAGATTGAAGTCTGTAAATGGTGAAGGGTTTATGTTTTAGTGTTTTGGGAATTAAGGAGTTTCCCTCGCCGGGCGCTTCACCAGTGCGCATGCCACGTTCGGTGCATTCGGTGACGGCGGCCCAAGAATCAGTTGACTAGCGTGCTTGGGCTTCACGGGTTGGGATGCCCAGCTTTTCGAGATTAGAGGGGTGTAGCAGGGTCTCGGGGTTTCTGATTAATCTCATTTTTTTCCCCATGCTTGTGCCGGGTCCTTGCGTCTCTCTCGCTCCTGCTCGATCCGATAACCAAGCTGGAGAACGCCGACTAAAGCTGCAGTGATGTTGACCTCATCTGGTTGAAAACAGAGGCTTGACATTGAAAATGCAGGGTGACATCGCAAACAAGCAGAAAACATGTGTTGCCTAAGGCCCATACCTTGAAAAACATCTCCGACGACTAGTCCAGGAGTGATCCTTCTCTAGGTGCCGTTCCTTCTTACTGCCCGACACCCCAGCAGAAACTCAATTTGCCTCGTCGGCTCTACCCCGCCGTAGACCCCAAAGACTTGACCCTAAACCCTAAACCCGAAACCCTAAACCCGAAACCCTAAACCCGAAACCCTAAACCTTAAACCCGAAAACCGAAACCTCAGGTTAACTTGCCCAAGGCACCCAGGCAGGAGTCTTGAATTTGCTCTTCCTGGGTGGGCTTTGGGGTTCCGGGGTGTAGAGTGGCTAACGTTTGGGGGCTAGCATGTAAAACTGGGGGGTCCAGGGATGTTGGGCTGATATCTGAAAGTCTTCGCATTCGGCTTTGGGCTCTGGCTCTGGTTTCGCCTGAACTTTCTCAATAACCCTGAGCCCAGACCCCAAACCCTAAGCCCTATGACTAAACTCTATAATGTACAGCCATTCAGAGCCCTACACTCTATGAGCCTACACCGAAAGCAAAAGGCCGACCTGTAATCCTCCCACACCCAACTTTCTCCAGTGCTTACAACCACCGAAATAACCAAGCATAATCGGCAAAGAAGACCCAAAGGCCGGACAACTCAGTGGAACCCCGGAAACCACCTTAGTTTATGAAAAAACAGAAATGATCTCATAACTCTCTTCTTCGACAACCGGGCGCCAAAAAACTCAAGCTTTCTGAGATAAAGCTAATATATAAGGCCAAAAAAATCTAAAGCTTTCCCATTTGCTATCTAAGAAAACACGCTCTGACCCCCCGAGAGAGGTTTGCCAAACCCTAGACCCTGTATAATTCCTGAACCCTCAACCATTCATAAACCCCAAAACGCTAAACCCTACGTAAACCTCATAGACCATTTATAAACCCTACACCCTTATAAAAACTAAACCCTCTATCAGCCCTAAACCCTTCATAAAACCCTAAACCCTTTATAAAAACCTTAAACCCTTATAACACCCCAAACCCAAAGCCTTGTTTGCGGCTTTGTCAGTAGCCTCCTGCATAACCTTAAGGATCCTAAACTATGGGAATTATGGTGTGTTCCTTATTATTATGGGCCATGCAGGATTTATATCATCAACCGTTTGTCAGTAGCCGAGCTGCTCTGCCTGGGCGTTGATCTCCTCGGCCATCTCCCTCTCGATGTCTTCGGCTGTTGCCTCAAAGCAAACAAGGGACCTTCAAGGACTCTAAGGGACTTTAAGGGGCCTTTAAGGATTTTAAGGGACCTTTAAGGACTTTAAGGGACCTTCAAGGACTTTAAGGGTTTAGGGTTTTAGGGTTTCGGGTTTAGGGTGCAGTCGAAAAGCCAAGAAAGGACCTTTAAGGGTTCCCCTATAAGGGGCTCAAAAAAGGGGACTTTAGGGTTTAGGGTTTAGGGTTTTAGGGTTTAGGGTTTAGGGTTCCCATAAGGGGTCTACGAAAAGCAAACCTTTAAGGGAGCTCTAAGGGACAAGGGCTCTGGGGTTTCGCATTGAAGGGGCCTTCAAGAGCTCCCATAAGGGCTCTACAAGGGCCCTCGGGTTTTGGGGTTTAGGGACCTTTAAGCTCTATAAGGGCTCGAGGGCTTCGGGTTTAGGCGGTCAAGACAGGGCTTTGTCAGAAAGCTATACCTTATGTGAGGGCGGTTGTATTGAGGATCCTGTTATTTCTTTGCCTGTATTGGCATGACTATTTCCTGGGCCCCGAATATATGCTGTACGAATATGGAACTATGTCCCAGTATTGGTCTTTAGGATCTAGCTCCATAATGATAGTATATATGGACCCTAAGCCTAAACTGGCCCTGAACCCTAAACCTAAACCCCACACCGTGGCTGTGTAAGTCACGGCTTATGCTGTTGCCTCAAAGTTGTCCTCCTCCTCCTGCTTCTTCTTGAGGCGCTCCTGCAATTAGGGCTTGGTGGTGGTGGTGGTCTTGGCAGCAGCAGCAGCAGGAGAAGCAGGAGTAGTAGCAGTAGCTGATGTCGCCGCCGCCGCAGCCGTTACAGGCGAAGTAGTAGTAGTAGTAGCAGTGAATTCAGGAATTGGGAAGCTATATTGCAACTGGAGGCTTATGGGATCCTGAAAGTTGAAGCCTACTTGTCGGGTATCATGGTGAACTAAAGGTTAACCTTTTTGGTTATATAGGGATCATATAGGGACTAGACTACCCAAACCAGGTAAAAGGTTACCTACTCACTAGGGAAGGGTCTCCAGAATGTTTGGTGTCGGTGGTTTAGGGCTCCTGCTTCTCCACGAAGGACTCATTCTTCTTCGGCGGCATGGCAGCTACAAGGTGGCGATGCTCTAGGACACAAGTTTGCCCCCTTTGAGGGCCATGGCAGGATCCAGCCTACAAAGCTCAGCAGCTGATATTCACCGTATGTTGTAATAAATTACTGTATATACGAGTGATGTACGGGATGGAAGATTTAACTTCATTCTGGCCGTCGGGAAGTGGCACACATGAGGAGTCCTGCTTGGTGTGCCTGCTCAGAGTAAAGGGTTTAAGGCTTGCTGTGGACTGCTGTTGGTATCACGAACACGCCAACAGCGATACTGGTAGTCTCATGGTAGACTCATCTAGTACAAAGGAGGAGCTAGCAGCATACAGCACTAAGCGTTCTTCTGCTTGCCGGCTGGTAGCAAGCTGACTCAGCCTTGCACTTCGCATGCTGCAACCTTAGCATGGTCACATGGCTGCTCTATAGTTCTTCAATGAGCCAGAATGATCACGAATGTGCCGGACGACCTTTCATTGTGGAGGGTTTAAGATCTAGGGCTTAGGACTTCGGGTTCTGGCTCCAGGGTCTGGGAATCATGGCTTCAGGAATTCGGGCTTCGAGCTCACTTCTTGTTCAACGAGGTGCTACCCTGGGTTTCGGCTTTAGGCTTTAGGGCTGGTCTGGGATTTAGGGTGCCCAGAACCTGACAGTCGCTTCCTGAACTCCATCGAAACTCGGTGCAACGAAAAGCCGCCACCCCTCCTGCCCGCACAACTTGACAATGCATGCAGCCCTGAAGCCGCATCATCATCATCATCATCATCGTCACCATCATCATCATCACCATCATCCGTGGAGGGAAGGTTGGTCGAAACCCTGGAAACCGACACCGCAAACCCTACAACCTGATCTTATAGAAACACCATACGGGGATACATTTCCTCCGACCTTTGATTCAACTCTAACGCTGCTCATCCCAACAACTCTCGATCAGGCAGATTCTCAGATGTTACTGTTCGCAGTCTGAAACCCTGAAGTTGCGACCAAGGATTGCGGATACAACTACACCAGTGTAAGGCCAGTATGTGTGTGTGTGTGTGTGTGCGTGTGTTTAGATGCATCGAAGAGGCTGATCTGCGACTACGCTCATGAATGTTACGCCCTGCCTGTATTGAATATCGGTCCTGAGCCCTACGTCTACAGGCTGAGGGTCCGTCACTCTTGCATGGATGCTACTGCTCGTAATCCGCGTGACGGATCCGTCACCCTACACTTTACACAATCATAGTTTTTGCTCCCAAATCCTTATAGAAGTTTCCTAAACCACATAACTTCTTGTTGTTCAGCAGTTCTGAACCCCGCCAAAACCCTACACCCAAAGCCCGGACTCTCAACCTGAACCCTGGATGCCTGTGTCTCCAGTTTCTCTTTCGTCTGCTCATAGATCCGGAGCTCCTGGACGACGCTTTTTCTGCTCCTAATGACGGCTTGAGAGGTTTCTACAGGGCATGGAGAAGGGATTCGTTGGGCGCTAGAAGCTAAATGAAGAGGACAGTTGTGGTACCTATGAAGCAGGCTGTAGCAGGGCTTTAAGGCATTCTTGGAGGATCATGGGACTTAGTAAGTAAGGATATCTCTACCCCAATTGGGGATATAGGTATAGTTACCCGAATAATAACTCTAGTTACTAAGTCCCATGATCCTTAAACCCTAAACCCCCCATAGATCCCTTATGGATCCCTTAAAAGGAGCCCTTTAAGGAACCCTCTAAGTTACTAAGTCCCATGATCCTTTAAGCGTACGACTGGCAGTTTGGGGGGACTCGGGTTGAGGGATTCGGGTTTCAGGGCCTGTATGGTTTCGGGTTTGCGGCGAGCCATTTTTCATAAACCCTACACCCTGACTCCCTTCGCCTTCAGTACTGCTGGGCATCCTGAAGATGATATCCACCGAATGTTGCCCCAAACCCTATACCCCACCGCAAACCCTGAATCCAAATTCGTCTAACCTCCGCCTTTCAACAACGAAAACAACGACACACAAGCGCGCACACACCAAAGCCAAAAGCCGAACAGCTTCCAGACCTGTCTATGTTTCTTTGGGGGCGGCCCCACCAACCCTCCACAAGTTCTCTGAAGGTCAAAGCTTTTCGGCTCTGGGGTCCCTTTAACAACCGTTTAGTACAGGGACCTTTGATAATTCGAAAAGGGATTTTAGGGTAAGTTAAAGTGTGCGATCTAGGGACGATAAGCGAATCCTACTGATATCGATGCAAATAACAGGATGTCATGGTAGTCATGACTTGCTGGAGTCCCCGTCTCTGAGTCGCTCTCTTTCTCTTGCTCTAAGCAGAGGGCCCTTGCAATTAAACTTCGGATCCACATGTTACGTGCCTAAGTGGGTCAACCTGCAAGCCCAGCACAAATGTCAAGACAAAATAGGCGCCTTGACACTGACAATAGGATTGTTGGGTGCACCATGGCACTATGTATGATATACGAATACACGGAAAATTCTACAATTCTAAAACAAACCTGACGGAACATTACACGACGCTTTTACATTGCTACGGCTCGGGACAGCAGAACCTACTGGCAAGAGTAATTAAGGAACAGCAGCAGGAATCACTACTATCAGTCGGAGTTATAGTATAGTATACATAAATGAAAAGGTCTGACACTCAGGGACAGCTAACACTGTTTATAAAAAGGACTGCTTGCTGCACTTGCAACATCAGGGTAGCGATGACCATAAAACCCAGGCATGCATTAGAACGACGGTGCTTGCGCATCTATGAAGATGAAACTCGGCGTGGTCGCCTCTTTCTTCACTAACGGATCCTAGCCATGAGCATGGTTAACCTCAAACAGAAGAATGCCATAAGCCCTAAACCCTAAAACCCTAAACCCTAAATCCGAAACCCTAAGCCCTGAACCCTAAACCCTAGAACCCTAAACCCTATAAAAGAACAAAAGAAAAATATAGAAAATAAAACTAAAGAACAAAGTAACATAGAAAAACTAAAACAACAAATGATACCAACCCTAAACCCTAAAACCCTGAAACCCTAAACCCTCAACAAAAGCACAGGCCCTGAACCACCGCCTCGTCGTTCAGATCGGCCAGTGCCTCCAGAGCAGGCACTGCTCTCGTGGATGACACTTAAAGGGGAAAAGGAGGGACCCTTAATGGGGACCCCTACCCTATAATGGGCTATATAAGGGGTATGTAATAGCTATATTGAGGGTACAAACCTAGGGGTCCTTATTAAGGGTCCCTCCTTTTACCCTAGGAGACACCGAAACCCTGAACACTAAATCGTAAGCTCAAGTAGCGCTAGACCCTCAACCCAGAACCCAAACCACACACCCAGAACCACGAGATTCCTAAATCATGCTTTACTATACTATAATATCTACTATATACGATTTACTATATACTATATACTATATACTATATACTCTACTGTATATTATTAAACTACTACTAAACTGTGTAGGGCTCGGAGTTCGGAGTGTAACTGAGGTAGCATGTCTCGAGGATCCGAAACGGCAACTTGAGGGTTCAGAGGTTCAGGGCTTCTAGGCCTTAAAGGGAACTCCAGAAAGTTGGAATATGGATTAATGGTAGGATCCCCTATAATTTACCTTAAAGGGGTTAGGATAATGATATTCCAACTTTCTGGCTTCTACTGTATAGTGTGTCTGGCTTATACGGTTTAGGGTTTAGGGTATAGGGTTTAGGGGTTTAATTATAGGGTCTATAGGGTTTAGGGTTTAATTATAGGGCTTATAGGGTTTAGGGTTTAATTATAGGGTTTATAGGGTTTAGGGCTTAATATTGGGTTTATAGCGTTTAAGGGTTTAATTATAGTATAGGGTTTCGGGTTTAGGGTATAGGGTGAGAGTTTAAGTTTTGATGACAACTGCAGGGCATACATCTTACATGCCGGGCTTCATCTGCAGCGCTTTCTCATTAGTAACAACCTGCAGCCTAAACCCGAACAGACTTACCCCAGACGGCCCGACGGCCCCATGAGGGCATTGGTACGCTTTGTCATCTGAGATTTAGCTTCCATGAGAGCCGGCAAAAGCCCTACTTCCAATAAATACTCTACGAATACTCTACGAAACCGATTGAGTGTTTCCGGCGTCTCTCCTCAAGCTGCGTGCGGACAGTGACATTCTATCGGTAGGGAGGTGCCAGGGTTGTGGATCTGACATGCCCGCAAGGGAACCGAAACATATGCAACCCACAAATCTGAATGGGGTGCGCCTCTCATCACAAACTACTGTTGTGTAGACTTTCAATGTGAACCCGGACATCGTCTACCTTGTTTGTCTTTCACTCACCCTCTCTCTCGCCCTCTATCTCTCTCTCTCTCTCTCTCGTGCTCTCTCTACGGCCGTATATAGATATATAGAAATGTTTACATACGTACGTATGTAAATTGGTATCGTTGTAATGCCTTATGCGTTTTAAGGATTTTACAAAACTGCAAAACATTCGATGTAGCACCTTTTCTTGATGGCGGCGTGCACAGTTGAGAACTGCAAGAAGGAAACAATCTGTCAACCAAATCTGCAATTAAGGGTCTAGGTGGGCCGTTAGCAACAGCTTAGGGAGTCTGAACTTGATCACAAAGCAACCCATACGCTCCATAGTAGTTCTTCCTGGGATTACCTTATAGGATGCTAAGTATGAACACCCAAACGGAACTACGATGAAACCCATGGGAAAGAACCCGAACATGGAAACCAACATCACGCCGAACTCCATCAAGGGCCTCGACGTGGACAAGGTCGGCTGCACGCTCTGAGTCCTTGAAGGAGTACCTAAGCGGATTAAGATTCAAGGTTTAGGGTTTAGGGTTTCGTGTTCGGGTCCTTTCCCATAGGCTCCATAGCAGGTCTTTTTGAGGGGTCATATGTAAAATCCTAAAAAAAAATACAGAAAAGGAACTACCCTACGGAGCCTATGGGTAGCGGATTAGGATTTAGGGTCTTGTTGAGGTTTGAGCCCGGAAGGTTTTCGCTCTAGGGCCAGACAATGAGTTTAGAACTTTAATCTTTGGATTTTGGCACATACTGCCTGCGAAACCTTCCTATGGTTGCAGGAATGAAACAGGGTTGTCCAAAGAGTGTGTGTGAAACTGGCCCAATATATAAGGATTCTGGTTCGAGTAAGTGCCCATACGCTCCATAATAAATCCTTTCGGGGATTATCTTATAAGATTCTTATATGAACCCCAACACAGAATTACTGTGGAGTCTATGGGTAGTCAGAGAGACTGAACACTCGGAAGCCATGTGGGAGATTTACGCAACACATCTCAACAAAACGAACATGAGGGCCCCGGAAAAAGGACCCCTTCCCCCCACCTTTCGGATCCCCATGTTCTTGTGAAGATGTGTCTGCTCGAATCTGAGATACACCTGATGTCTTGCATTTGCATATCCAAGCTATTTCTCAACCTTACAGGGTTTAGAGTACAGCGTTTAGGGCTATAGAGTTAGTTAGGGTTACCCATTGGCTCCATGGTGGCTCGTTTTGGGGATTAGCTTGTAGGATTCTAGATTGAACCCCCAAACGGAACTAATATGGAGCCTATGGGTAGGGCTATAAACAAGGCCGGAAACCGTGGAAAACCCAAACCTGCACACTCAACTCTGCGCAATGAAGGCTGTAAAGCTCTACCTAAAAACCCATAGGTAGGTCAACGAAAAGTCCAAAAACTTCTGAGAAACTATTATTCGACAAATTTTTGAACTTTTGGGTCCAAATACGCCGAAGATAATTCCCTACTCTCGAGGCCCAAACCAGTACGCAATCGCTGTCACCACAGCCCCTTACATTGAAAACAAGGTTCGGCGAAAATTAAAGTACCAGAGCAGGGGTTCACGTTTAGAACCTTCCCATTCTCGGATTCTAATTCTAGGGTTCTAAGGTTTATGTATCCCGTGAGGGCTAGGGTCAAACGTTAGATCGTGCGCAAACCCCCTGACAGTTCAAATCCTCAGCGAGCCACCCGTCACGTAAGGCGGCGATCGTCTCCCACTCCGACTGTGCAAAGAGGCCGGGAATTCAAGGAATCAATGGGTTTTAGGGTTCAGGAGTTGAAAAGATTTCGGGCTCAGGGATCCTAGTGTTTTTCTTGTTGTTTTGAGAGTACTTCTCCGTCTGCACACACGTTTGCAGGGTTTATGGTTTAGGGCTTATAGGGTTTAGGGCTTCTAAGGTTTAGGGTTGACGGATGCAATGACACCCTTTTTCCAAGCGAGACCATGCACTGTTGAACCCCAGCAGGACTGGGAAAGAAAATGCCATAGGGAAACCGACGGTCGAGGGATGCCTCTTGCCAAATGAATATTTCCAACTGTTTGCTTAAGACAGGGAACATCACTGACCAACGATGGTTTCAAGTTGCAAACCACCTCTACTTCACACATGTACGCAAAGTTGAGCTAGATCTTGCGGCGGATCGTCACAAGGTTGTCGACTTGGGTTCTGCTTCGTACTCACCTGTTGGACCTTTTGCTTCGGCAGGATCATGTACAGGGCCATGAGGTGGAGGTACAGCTGCCAATTTATTATTTTGCTCTTTCGCATTTTGTCTTCGCTGGCGTTGTTCGCGCAAAAACAACTAAGGGAGTTTCCAAAAGCTCGTTGCCAAACCCTTACAAGGCAAGCCAAGAAACGAAGGCGCGGCAGGATTCGAGCCCGCAGCACTTCCCATTCCAGCTCATGTGCTTATCCACCCGGTTTGGCAGCCCAAGACTACTGAAACGCCACTATATCCGTCCTTTTTTTTACCCAGCTTGTAAGCAGCCCTTACCAGAACCCCCCCCCCCCCACAACAAGAAATCGATCCCCTCAACTTCTAGTTCATGGTCCCACTGGGCAGGGCAATGTCCACCAGCCGAATTTTCCTCCCGGACAGGAAGTTGCTGAGGCTGCCAATCATGTTCATCGTGATCCCGGCGTCACCATCAAATTCACCTTGATTTCCAACTTCCCATGAGGAACAAGAAGACGAGGCAGGGCAGCTGTTGCATTGCTCCGGCAGCTGTGAAGAGGCTGGTGCGAGTTGTTCCATTCAGAGGGCCAAATTCCATGTTCATCCCAGACTCTGGGGGAAGCAACACACTTTCAACCCCTCAGCATTTTCAGATCTGCCCGACTTGCCACCAGACCATACAAGTGAGGCTTTGACGAACAGGCTGGGAATAGCCCCAGAAGTTCGTGAGCATATCTGCAGCGATCAAGTTGTAATCCTCTGCCGAACTGCTCAAGGCTCTCACTGCAAGTTGCTGTGCAAGTCAATTCTGGGGATTAGGGATACAGTGGACCAAGCTTCCAGTCAACACTGTGCTGAATCCAATTCGTTTCCAGCAGGGAATGGCAGCCTGAATGGACCAACGGATCAGGCACTTACTTCCGCAGTCAGGATCTTTCATGCCAGCGAGTTTGCATCGCACTTCCTGCATGAGCGCCGTAGCACGGGTTTAGGGTTTAGGTTCAGGGGTTCTCAAGTCCAAGGTTTGGACAACCCAAAGCCCTGCTTTGGCAGGGCTCCTCATCAGTCCTCACCATGAGTTCCTGATTTTTCCATTGGAAAAAGACCAGGTACATTTCTTGAGTTTACAGATTTCGAGCTTGGTGCTTTGGGCGTGGAGGTTTGCAAACCGTCAACCATGAATTCCTGATTTTCCTTTCAAGACATAGGCCCTGGTAGATTTGTTGAGTTCCAGGTTTCGGGCCTCAACCGTTGCTTGTTCGACGGTCTAGGGTTGGGGCTTGCGCACTAAGACCAAGAGTCAGCACTTGAGGCGGGTTCGATGGCTCAGGTTTCGGAGGGGGGTGGGTCAAGGAGCAGTGCTTGTGCGGTGCGGACAGTAAGGCATTTACCCCACGCTACCCAAGCCCGGACCTCCTAGCCTGTGCATGTACGTCGTTCCTAGCAGCTCCTATTCCACGTGCCTTCAGGACCTGTCTCGGTTTACTCTAATACTATAGCCCAGAGGGTCCAGAGCACCTATATAGTAGAATGTAGGGTTTCTATATTAGGAATTACTATTCTGATTTGGGGAAGTACTCCCCATAACAATGCCTAGGACCTTTTGGGTAGGGCTTCGGCCCAGCCACGAATCACAACCCACCGGCGGCCTCTCTTCTGCTGCTCATGCTGGAACCCTCTCCTTCAACATCAATCCTACTACATAAAGAACAAGCTCCTGCCCAAATATCCTGGTTTTCATAAACAATCAGGAAGGCTTGCCCTCAACCCTGCGGCTTAGGGTCTGTTTGGAGGGGACTCAATGACTTCTGCCTGACCCCTTGTACGGCTTAGGCTGAGATTTCCTGCTGCTTGGAAGGGTCTCAGCACCCACAGTCCAGAAGCAAAAGTTGCATGACTTCGCGATGCACGCACCTTGAGCACAAAGCAAAATATGTAATCATAGTCAAATGGACGACAAGAAGACTTATCCCATGTGTTTCTGGATGCTGCTCCTCATGCCCTGAACTTATGCCTCCCCTATGGAACCCACCGTGAATTGGGCGCTGCAGCTTCAACCCGCAAACATGCAAGGCGTTATAAAGCCAGGGTCACCTTGCTCTGAAGCGTCGAGACCAACTTGTCAACCTGTTATAGGGGTTCCTATAGGGTTCCTTTTAAGGGTTCCTAGGGCTCCTTTAAAGGGATCTACAAGGCCTAGGGGCTCCTTTAAGGGTTGTATGTCAGCTTCTCAGTTTCAGAGGGTTGGGACTGGGAACACGTACTTGGAACCAGGCTTTGGACCAAAGCACAGCAGGGAATCTGCAAGCAAGCAAGGATTTCCGAGTTTGCAGGTAGTTGTGGGGTGTCTGATTGGTGAAGTTACCGATTAGCTCTCGGGTCAGGGAGAGGGTCAAGAAAAGTAGGAGCCAGGATAAGCTAGCTTTTCGGAGATAGACATATAGATGGTATGCACAATTCATGAGCAACTTAAACGTGGACTGCCATATGGCAACATGACAGAGCTGCACGATGGAGTCGTCTGTGGCCTGGGCAGGACAAGTCGTAATGTAAGGTTCTGTTCCAGCCCCAAGAAAATCCGCAACGCAACCCATCACATTGGACAGAAACAATCAAACGAAATGCCCCGTAGCCGTCGCATCCCAAAGCACCAAACCCGAGCAACACTGGCTACGCCACCTAAACCCTAAAACCCTAAACCCTAAACCCTAAACCCTAAAACCCTAAACCCTCAACCCTAAAACCCTAAACCTGAAACCCTGAACCCTAAACGCAACCAAGCTCGCCTTAAACCCTGATTCACAGAAACAGCAGCCCCAAACACCTCTGGGATTCTGCCATTCCCCCCCCGCCCAATTCCGCAATCGTAGTAGTCTCTGTTCGGTAAATGACAAGACCCCACTAAACCCAGGACTTGCATAAAAACCTTACCTAAACCCCACCCTAAACCCTTAGAGAAGCCCTTATCCCAAGGTGCGTTTTGATGGAAAAGTCAGGCCGTTAAGTCCTAGCTCAGAAACGCCCCTAATCCCTAATCCCAAACCCAAATCCCCCAACCCTATAAACCCTACCTAAACCCTCCTTATAAACCCTAAACCCAAATCCCCAAACCTATAAACCCTACCTGAACCCTACATAAACCCTAAACCCAAATCCCCAAACCTATAAACCCTACCTGAACCCTACATAAACCCTAAACCCAAACCCCCAAACCTCTAAACCCTACCTAAACCCTACCAAAACCCTGAACCCACGGCCTTCTGATACCACTTCCCGGCATCGAAGTTGTTCATCTCCTCACTCGACAGGCTGGACACCGCCTCAGGGGGAGTCCCAAGAAGTGTGGAAGTCTCGGATACCCTAAGGCCCTAAAGTAGCTCCGTTTTGGGGTTCATATGTAGGATCCTATTAGGTATTCCTAAAAAGGAACTACTTTGGGGAGTCCCAAGAAGTGTAAGAGTTTGGGACAGTCCGGGGTTTAGGGTTTGGGGTTTATAGGGTTTGGGTTTTGGGGTTTAGGGTTTGGGGTTTAGGGTTTAGGGTGAGGAGCCCAAAGAAGTGTAAGCGTCTGGGATAGTTTGACAAACGAATCGAGGTGTAAGAGTCTGGGATAGTTTGGGGTTTAGAGTTTAGGGTGAAGGGGTCGAAACCGAGTGAATTTTTAAAGGCGAAATGCAAACGAATTGAAGTCGCCAGGGTCGCAGCTGATGGATCCGAAATGACAAGGAATGTGGTTGCGCGGGTGGGTATATGCGTGTATGTACGTATGTATGTGTATTGCCTCCTAGCTAGCAAAAGCATGGAGCGCTTCTTCTAACTCCTGCTGGGGGGGATTTGCAAGCATTTGCGATGCAGGGTTTGGGAACTTCATCATGCCGAATGTACAAGATGACATCGAAATCAGTATCCTTGTTTTCCTGCAATGGTCCAGCGGCGTGGCAATTTAGGGGTGAGGCCTTCAACGAAAGTCTCAACCAAGCGCGTAGGGCTTTAGGGCGGCGCCTGGGGCAATAGGCATCTGGCCACACTAACACCCATAGAACATCTAAAACCATTTGAAGCACAAAGCCGGAAAACCTTAAACCGAAAAACCCTGAATCCTACACCACCCTATATACCCCAAACCCTCCAAAAGAGGCCCTGAACCCTAAACCCCTAAATCCTACGCCCTAAAATCTGAAGCCGTCAACCGGAAAACCAGAGGATGAGTCAACGAGCCCTGGTCTTGCAAAACCAACTACGACGCCATCGAAACCGTATAGCCCTAAGTGGGCCGAGTTTGGGGATTCGGGTCCCGGATGTAGGGTTTTAAACTTAGGATTACAGCCCACATCAGAATTCCAATGCCCCGAAAAATGTGGGGAAAGCAAGAGCAAGCCTTAAAACCTGTCGCTCGTTGCCCAGTGCCCGAAGCCTCTTTTCATGTCGCAACACAAACAATATGCCCTAAACCCTAAAGACACTCAAACACAAAAGGCCTTCAATCCAACAAAAAGCAAGCAAGACCCGAACGGGGCCCGTCAGCACTGCAGTCCCTGAAGCCTTCGAAGGCTTCTGCCCAAGCGCTTGGGATTTAGGGTTCAGGGTTAGGGTTTGCTGGTTGGATCATGTCATGGGACTTAGTCAGTAAGGTCATAAGTACCCCAATTGGGGTTATAAGTATAGTTACCCTAATACTAACTCTAGTTACTAAGTCCCAAGCTCCTTTAAGCAGGGGTTAGGGTAAGCTTTGGATTTCAGCTTCGCAGTGTTTGGGTCTAAGGTTTTAGCTTCAGACGTGGTTTAGCATTGGAAAATCACTCCAGCTCCAAACCGTACGGGTGAGGGCTTAGGGTTTCGGATATTCGGTTTCCGGTTGTGGGACGATGTAGGAGTTTAGTGTCTTGGGCCCTGTGTCTCAAGGTTTAGGGTTTAGGACTGAGAGTCGTAGGCTTTAATTTAAAGCTTGGCCCTAAACCCTAAACCCTCCAACCCGAAACTGTAGAGTCACGGGTTTAAGAATATACATACAAACATATGTATATATATATATGTATATGTATATATAGATATCAATATACACACACATATAGAGACATACGGCTTCAGGATTTCAGTGTCTTCAGGGTTTAGGGAGTTTCCCCAAATCCTCGACGCTGGGTCCGGGGCAGAGTCGGTGCTGCCGGAGGAAGGGGAGGAGCTGGATATCTGCGAAAAGCTGGGTTTAGGGTTTAAGTGGCTGTGATTAAGACTTTTGTAGGGTTTTTTGTAGGGTGTCGAACTTAGCTCATAGGCGTGGGGGTCTACACTCCTAGTGGAAGCATAGCCATATATAGTCATCTAGTTACTGTGGTACTATTCTATGGGGTTCAGTTTCAAGAATAATGGAACGAACCCCAAAGAGTGCAAGCCTTTCTGCAGGTGCGTGGACTTCTATGCTGCTACGATTGAAAAAACATAGCGTAGTAATTGACGGTTTGACTTATGGTTGAATGGGCATGGAGGAGACTTGCAAACACATGATTAATGATAGGGCTTGCAGAAGGCTGCTACCGTGTAGTCCACATGCATTCTTCCGACAGGTTTTGATCACCCTTGCGACGGTCGTCAAAACCCTGTATAATGGGCCCAAACAAACAAAGTACGTGGATATAATCACCTGCGACAAGGGTATTACATAACTAACTGTAACTATACTGCATCAATACAAACCGCGTACTTATCCACATCGCAAGTATTAGGGGAACCAAAACCCAGATAGAAGGGATTTCCACAACGTTCAACCGCCGAGATCTGAAAAGGTTCCACCTCTCTCTGCAACAGATATGCAACCAAGGCACCTCCTGAAAAGCAACAAAAGTGCGGATATATTTACATGTATATATATATATATATATATAAATATGTATGTATGTATGTGTGTATGTGTGTAAGCTATGTCCTCAAAAAACAATAAACTTTTGGATATATGTTTGTGTCAGCTATGAATGTATGTATGAAAGTATGTGTGTATGCATGTACGTATGTATGCATGCATGTACGTATGTATGTAAGTAATGCATAAGTGGATATCTCTGTAGATACGTACTGACATGCAGACATACATACATACATGCATATATCCATACATACAAACATACATACATACACACATACGTCCATGCATGTATGCATGCATTACATTCCATTGCATTGCAATGCATCACACTACATTGCAGTACATTGCATGGCCTACATTACGTACATATATATATATATATATACAAGTATGTATATATATATATACACACACACATGTAATCTGTACCCGGGCACGGAGAAAACACAACCCTCGCAGCAGAGCAAGGCTCACTCAGCCACCTTTATTTCTAGGATAGAAACCCGGAACCCAAAACTACCAAGCGTGCCTCACTTTCGGAGGAGGAGGAGTCGGAATCTCCCGGGACGGGCACATTTACTGCCGCCACCTTCCGTCGCTCCTGGAATTTAGGCGTTGGGGCGGGGGCGGCATGAAGGGGGTTTCTCGCCATCCTTGCCAGTAAGTTCCTGGCATTGGATGAAATCTTGCTGTTTGTCTGACTTTAGACGTCATTAGAGTTCCATGTTGGGATGCACCAGGCTGTTCCTGATGTGGTGTTGCTTAATAGAAGGAAACTCATGTGGAAACAAAAACCGTGCAACCTGAAGCACAGCTTGGGACCCCTAACGTAGACAACTAGTACTGGAGTCCCATACGGCCCTGTCTTTGTGGCATAAGTTCCTCACGCTACCTGTATAGCGAAGTGACTCTACACGTCGCCTTCAATCCGAGGCTGCGTCGCATCTAGGCCTTCGCATCTGCAGAGTGGCAACGATTCTTTTGTTGAGGCTCGATTGCGTCAGGGCTTAAGGCTCTTGGGTTACAGGGCTCAAATTGCATACCCTGGGGCTTGGGATTCAGCTGGTTAACGCAGCATCAGTTAGAAGACCGATTACACCGTTGGTATATAGCTGGGTCGTGAGAAAAGGGCTTGGAGCTCGAAAAACAACTCTGAATAGGCACCTCTACAAGACCGACAGGGGGGTTAAGGAACTTTCCGAAATTCCCACATTGACAGCTATTAATAACCCCCCTTGAACCACCACTTGCAAGTTGTTCCATGCCTTCACCAACAGCTAAGCCTGAGCACTCAGCCCACAACTTCAAACTCTTGTCCAGCTTGTCAAACGATAGAAGGTTCCAGTTTCGCGCAAGGCCAGCCATGTCTTGTGGTGGTCTCGGAAACCCTAAACCCTAAACCCTCGACCCTAAACCGTCGGGATCAGCAAAGGACGGGAAGAGATTACATGCAAACCTGTTTGCATCCTGGAGCCTGCTTGCAACGTCGGGTTGGGAACCGGAAACTGAACTGCCATGACCGTGTTCCTTCAACGTTTAGACGGCCTATCGAGAGAAGTAGGATATAGATGATATCAATCCTAAACTCTGAACCCCTAAACCCCAAAACCCTACCTAAACCCTAAATCCTAAACTCCGATTCCGAATCTCTACGCGAGGTTTTCGGGGGGCGGCGCGGATCCTGGATGAAGTTGCTCCCAGTGAAAAGAGTCGAGAGCCGCACCCCGAAGTGGCGAGGGTCCTGCTTAAAGGATCATGGGACTTAGCAACTAGGATTTTTATCGAGACCTAAGGTTACTAGGGTTCCTGAAAGGGCTCCTTTAAAGGGATCTATAGGGGCTCTATTATAAGAGGGGTTTTAGGATCTAGTTGAAGGATCATGGGACTTAGTAACTTATAGAGGGTTCCTTAAAGGGCTCATTTTCAGGGATCTATAGGGGCTCTATTATAAGAGGGGTTTTAGGATCTAGTTGAAGGATCATGGGACTTAGTAACTTATAGAGGGTTCCTTAAAAGGATCTATAAGGGATCTTTTTTTTGGGGGGGTTAGGGTTTAAGGATCATGGGACTAAGTAACTTATAGAGGGTTCCTTAAAAGGATCTATAAGGGATCTTTTTGTTGGGGGGGGTTTAGGGTTTAAGGATCATGGGACTGAGCAACTAGGATTTTTATTGGGGTAACTATACTTATAACCCCAATTAGGGTACTTTTAACCTTACTTACTAAGTCCCATGATCCTCCAAGTGCTAGACCTGAAGACGTTTGTGCATGGGGTTCATGGAGTTCAGTAAACCACTGGGAAAAGTAGATACTTTTTTGGGCTTCTTATTCTAGGAGCCCAGAAACCTGAAAGTGCAAAAGTGCACCACTGAACAGCCTGGAAGACTTGAAGTCAGCCCTAACCCCGACACCCTTTCGTGCTTTAGGGATGTAGCTTATAAGGGTTAAGGAAATGATCTCAAGGCTTCGGGATCGTCATGTGGGCACAGGGAGGTTCAGGGAAGAGCGACGATGTCCGGGGTCGTGGTGGAAGCTTTAGGAGGCCCTCAACTCCTATATGGGTGGCTATCAAAATTAGGGTCCCTTTTTGGGTACCCTACATATTAGGTGCCGTACTAAATAAGAACCCCAAAAGGGACCGTAATCTTGACAACCACCCATATGCTTGTAAACCCTGAAGCGAGACCTTGACATGCCTACCTTAAACCCTAAACCCTAAATCCCAACCAACATCCGAAACCGCCTAAACTTTGAACATTAACCTTTTAGACTTTGATTAAACCGACGAAAGACGAAATGGCTAATCGTGCTTGGGATCTCCCAAGCCAAACTAGAAGCCAAGACAAAACACATGGCCAGAAACCTGATACGGTTTAGGCTTGGGGTTTACCGTGTAGGGGTTTAGGGTTTAGGGGTTTAGGGACTACAGTAAACCCTGCATAGACCCTCAACCAAACACTACAGTGATGCACCCTACATACCCATGAACCAGTATTCACGGCTTCAACTTGTCGGTTGATTGTCTAGCGCTTAACTAACGTTTAGGTAGGGCGAAGGGCCTAAACCCTAAACCCTGGGACGACAAATCTGGACGGGACTTACATTTGGAATCAAATCTCCTCGGAGAGGAAGTGGCTGAGCGCAGCCAGGCCTCTACAGTTGTTCTACAGGGTCTAGACTCGACGGTTTAGGCGGTTATTGTGTTTCGGCTTTAGTGCTTCGGAGTTTTGCGGGGTAAAGGTTAGGCAGACTAGCACCGCCAAGGAAATCATAGACTCACCCATATGCCTCAGAGAAGTCCAGACGTAGACCCGCATGCAGGTCAGTTCTCTCGTGTGTGTGTGTGTGTGTGTTTGTTTGTTTGTGTGTGCGTTTGTGTGTGTTTGTGTGTACACATATATATATATATATATATATATACATATATGTATGTATATATATATATATATCTGTACATATGTGCTTGTCTCTGGGTGTGTGTGTGTGTGTGTGTGTGTGTGCGCATATGCGTGTTGGCTTTGGGCCTTGCGGCTTGTCGGCTTAAAGCTTAGGGTATTATTGGCGCTCCGCATGCACGGAGATGTGCAATCCATTCCACACGGATGTAAGCGTTCGGGAACGAACACATTAAACAAACGACAATACCCATAACTAAGAAACAAGCTCCCTCAACTCAAATCCCTAAGCCTCAAAACCCTAAATGCTAATTGAATCCCAAAGACTACAAATCCTATACTCTCCATAACCCCTTAGCTATATTATCCGGCACCTGTAAAACTTTATAAATCTCTACTTGGACTGTTGATGACACTCTTACCCAGCACAATATGACCAGACCTATAACCCTAAAGAACGGCTGGGCTTAAACATACCAAACTCAAAGCCCCAAAGGGCTTGAGGCTTTAGGTTGCTATTGTTTCTGCCTTGGGCTCACAAGCATTGCCCCAGAAGCCAAGCCGAGTCAAAAACCCGTAGTAATCCCTTAGAACCCATAGGAACCCCAAACTTCAAAACCACAAAACCCTCAACTTAAATCCCTGAAACCCGTCAGTTCCGAAGCCGTATACCCAAAGCTTGGCACTACCCATAGGCCCCAAAGTAGCTCCTTTTTGGGATTACCTAATAGGATTCTAAATATGAACCCACAAAAAGGGGCTACTTTAGGGCCTTGGGGTAGAAACAGATCCCTCCAACTTCCACAGCGGCCCCTAAACCCTAAACCCTAAACCGAAACATCTCAGACTCTGGCCGCTGGGGATGGTGTCGGAGCCCCGCTTTCCGAAGGTGTAGGGCTTCCTCCGGAAGCTGGTGGGGGCTCTACCCTAAGGTCCTAAAGTAGTTCCGTTTTGGGGTTCATATTTAGAAGCCTACTAGGTAGTTCCAAAAAGGAACTACTTTGGGGCCTATGGGTATAGGCTTGATCTATTTTTCCTCAAGCGCTGCTATTGAAGGCACATGATGTGCGGCTGAACGTTCGACGTGGTGGCTTCATCCGCAAACCCAATGCTCATTAGTCAGAAGTCCGTAATTAAACAGGATCGCTTCACTTACAGCTCTACCTCTATACTGTTCGTACTAGTAGTATAGACAGTCCCTTGGCCCCTTGATTAGTTGAATGGGCACGTGGTGCCCTATGCAGCCGCAGAACACTAGTGCACAAAAACCTGCGCAGCGCAATCATAGGAACGTTGTTACCCAATTACCCTAAACCCTAAACCCACTACGAAGGGAAATCAAACATGGGGGAGTTTCCGAAAATTAGGGGTACCCTATTTTGGGTCCTTATAATAGGGATCCTACTATTTAGGGTACCGTATTAGGATCCCCTATTTTCAGAAACTCCCATATGGTGCACTGAACATGGGCAGTGGACCTGTCACCGACGATGTTGCTGATCATCCTCAGCCGCTCGCACAGAACCCCATTTAATGGTTAAGGGTTTGGGGTTTAGCGCCCGTCAACCCCAAAACGTAACCCGCCAAGCTTTAAAGTCTAAACCGCAAAGTACATCCAACTTCGAAGCTCGATGGCATAAAGGCCCATTGCCGGCCTAAGTGAGAGACTGCTGGGATAATGATTTCATGAGTGCATCCCCCTTCGCTTGTCTTTTGGGTGTTTTCGCTTTAGGGTCTGCTCTGGGTCTCGGGAGTCTCCAAGCTCCCGCTGCCATGGGGCCTCCGTCACTGAGCCCGTCGACATCCCTACAGCCTACAGCAGGAAAGTTGGAACATCATAAGCCCCATGCCCTTAAAGTATAGGGAATCCCAGCATGAACTAAATCTATGCTCCAACTTTCTGGGGTTCACTATAATGTAGGAGCCTGATCAAGAATCCCTGGGCCTATGACCCCAAAGTAGTAGGATTCATAGAAGGAACCCTAATGAAGGCCCAAGGCTTCTTAATCAGGTTCCTACATTACTCCCCACGATTAGGGATTATGGCCTGCAGGGTTTTGGGGTTCAGGATTTAGGCTTTATTCACTCTGCGCCACCAGAAGAGTTTGATAAAGAACACGAGACGGCACCACCAAGGCGAGGCCAGTGCACCAGGAGCATCCAAGGATGATAGTAACTCATTAATCAAAGTCGCAGCTGGGCTTCTAACGACAAACTCAGAATTGGCAGTTGCTTCCAGAATGGCAATCAGATCTCCTTAATTGTAAGGAAGTGGATACAGACTTGCAAATGGACCTTACGGAACAGCCCGTGTTAACGACAAAGTGCGCGTCAGCTGCCACACTTGCTTCATCTTGCCGCCTGCCACAAATGCTGGCGTTGTGGGGGCTTAGGGTTTGGATTTTAGAGCTTAAGGGTTTCCAGAGATTAGGATATAGCGGCAGCGGTTGGGTCTAGGTCCTTTTAATTTAAAGGTTTTAGATTTACGGGTGGGTTTAGTCTCTTGCTTTGTAGTGTGAGTTGGTTGCCGTGTGCCTGGGGAGTAAAATTGTAAGTAAAACCCAAGCCATCCAAGCAGTGTGATGTGTTCTTTCCGACTATATAGGTCATTCAATAAGACGAAGTATGTGTCGTTTTGATTCGTTATCACGTAACTCCCTTCTGACAGCTGCGGCTACTATCTCAAACCCTACAGCCTCGCCCCAAACTCTAAAACCTGAAATGGCCGTACCACTGGTTTCATTGTTAATTCTCTGACCCCAAACCGTGGCATGCAGCTCAAAAATAGCTGTCCACAACGCCATAATCATATCCCTTTCACATTCAATAAAGAACATAATCCTAAGCCCCGGGTACTGCAACATCTATGCCATAACGAACCGGGGCTCTGTGTGCCCCCGATGACAACAACACCCTCACCCTGCAGCCTCTTGGAGGACCAAAGCGAGCCCAAATCCTGCCCGAGAGTTTAGGGCTTAGGTTTTCGCGGCTTAGGGTTCAAGTTTTGGCAAGCTACCGCTGCGGCATTGAAGATGGTTAGGTGTTATGTCGGGTGCAGGTTATGTCGGGTGCAGGAGTGGATTTAAGGTTTTGGACTGCCAGTGGGCTTTACATCCTGGGTTTACTGCGGATTTTAGGAACGGAACTTCAGATTCTGCAGGACTCAAGGTGTTTGGGTTCAAGGTGCAGTGCAGTGTAATGCTGAGGCTGATAATGGGTCCCAGGGTCATCCGTCGGCAGGGAGGGAGAGAGAGAGAGAGAGAGATAGAGAGAGAGAGAGAGAGATAGATAGAGACAGACAAGAGAGCGAGAGCGAGAGCGAGAGCGAGAGCTAGAGCGAGAGAGAGAGAGAGAGAGAGAGAGAGAGAGAGAGAGAGGGGGAGAGAGGGACGGGAGGGGCGGGAGGGGCGGGGGGCGGGCGGGGGGGAAGGGTGGGGGGGGGGGCGGGGACCATGCATGCGGCACATATTGCGTGCGATTTACCATGTGTAAGCTCACCTTGCACCCTCCTGGCTTCAGTCTTGGGAGGATGTTTGGTTTACAGTAGGCTCTAGGGCTTTAGGAAATCATGAGCCCCACGTAGGGCTGTGGGTTCAGGGATCCATGAGCCCGATATGATAGCCTTTGCTGGAAATTCGGCTTGCCTGGGCCATGCAGGCAAGATCATAGGCCGACTTGCTCGTCTCTTTGGAGACCTGGGATGTAGGTTTTAGGGTTTGGGTCTAGGGTTTAGGGTTTAGGGTTTTGGCCAATGTCAGCACCGCTTTCCCCATGAGGTGCTGTGGGCGCAGGTTTAGAAGAAACACAGTCATCATCTTCTACAACCACGAAAGCCTTACGTGCTGCGTCTTCTTCCTAATCATCGTGATGTCATGTGTATCTTGACACCCTCATCGGGGTCAAGACAAGGGTTGCAGAAATTGACCCTAATGGCAACATCATTAGCAACGCGTGTTCCCTCTTACGTCCGTTACCAGCGTCATAATGGCCAACTCCACTCATCAACATCGCAGTGAATTATCACCAACCTAGGCTTGACTTGACTTCACCATCAGCTGCCCACCCATTATCGGCATAATCGGCATCTTCATAGCAATCGGGCATCATGACTTCACCACTGTCACAATGGCATGACAGCAACGGCAACAATGGCAGTAGCAGCGGCATAGCCAGCATCAGTGTCGCCACAAGCTCTCGCACTGCACCGGCATCATTCGGCCAGCACGACTACGACCCATCCCGCCGTGAGCGTGAGATCTGAACGAATCCCAGACCTAGATCAGGGCAACCCCGATGATGGTGGCCATACTTGGACACGAAGAGAAGGATCAGTATGAATATGACGCCGAGCTGTCTGGTCAACTCAAGGCACTGCCGACTACTTATCACTGGGATGCTGAAGCCAGTTAGACAGCAGAGATGACCATGATTACGGCAATATCGGCCTGCAGCGATGGATGTGCAAAAAACTGAAACACTTCGAGGGCGAGGCAACACGCATATGCAACTTCTACTGCAGCCTTGGCACTCTGCGAGCAGCCGAACATGTGATTCCCGCAAACAGTCGGAAGTCTAAGGCCTGCAACCCTGCAAGCCCGAACAGTCCGAGCAACCCTAAACCCTAAACCCCTAAACCTTAAACCCTAAACCGTGGAATCGTGGAACAGAGCCGGAAGAACTGAACCATGCAGACGACTGTTTCAGAAAATACCGTCAGCATCATAGCAGCAATTGGGTAGGCAGACTGTTAGAGAATCAACGCGAACATGCACCTCGGCGGCTTTCGTAGTTCAATTTCATGAAAAGCCAGCTGGAACCCTGATCCCGAAAACCCTAAACCCCAAAACCCTAAACCCTACAACGCTAAGCCATAAACTCCTAAACTCTAAACCCTTAACCCTAAAACCCTACGCCTCCGTTAATTATACAAAAAAAAAACGCTCGATGAAGAGCCTGTTCCTCGGGTCCCGACTCGAACGTACTCCGCCACCTGCTCCATGAGACTCTCCTTCGACTCCTCAGGTGGGCCTGGCATGATAGGGCTTAAGGCTCTTAGAATATAGGGGTTTAGGGTTCAGAGGGGGGGTGGGGGGGGCGGGGTGGGGGGTTAGGGTTTAGGTTTTAGAATATAGGGGTACTAGTACGGATTCGGGTTTGGGGCAAACTATTAATAGGGATACCTAAAGAGGGACTTTAAGAAACATGGAGGGCCATAAACGGATGGTACGAGCAGCACTGGCTGAGGGTTTAACTACCCCCCTTTACCTCGTTCCACTCCAGACACTGACCAAATCAGCCCTCAGGTAGTGCAACAAAAAACCCTGCCATAGGACGAAAGCATATGAGTGTTGGGATTGACTGATCTGCTACTTATAAGGTATATAACTGCAGGGTCTTGCAGGATACACTGAGTCTGGGAGTTTAAGGCGTTTGGAGCTTTAGGGGTTTCGCTTTCAAGTGTGTAGGATTCTGAACCCAAGTTTAGGGGTGGATAAAGATCTACCAACACCGTAGCGACGGAAAGTGCTGACCACAAGGTGCCTCTGCCAGCCATGACGGCTGTCTTGTCAGTCGCCATGGGCTCTTTGGGCAGCTCAGCTCATCTCTCTCTCTCTCTCTCTCTGTCTCTCTTTCTCTCTTTGCTTTCAGCTACAAGAAGTGTTTAGAGCCAGGGCCATGAAGTGGCACCGATGCGATTTAAGGATAACGACTTTTCAAGTCAAGTTTAGTGGTTGAAGCAACTTAGGGTCGAAAGGGTTGCCGGCTGGTCTTCTACAACGGTTGCAGCTGTGTCTCGTTTTGAGCCGATCCAGCACCGCAAGAACCAAGTCCCATTAATTTGCTCAGATCCCCTGGCAGGCGTCAATCCTTTGTCGCGTGATGTTTTCCTACTGGGATCCATCAAGGAGGAAGCAGGGCAACCTAAGCAAGCTATGACTGGTGTTACAAGCCTAACGACGACGACGACGACTACGGCTACTACTACTACTACTACTACTACTACTACTACTACTACTACTACTACTACTACTACTACTACTCCTACTGCTACTGCTACTGCTACTACCGCTACTGCTACTGCTACTGCTGCTACTTCTTCTGCCACTACCACTACTACTGCTGCTGCTGCTACTACTACTCCTACTACTCCTACTACTACTGCTATCCTGCTATCCCTGCTGAAACCGACGGGGCCGGTGCAGCCAGATCCCACACCCTCCACCTCTGGAACCCTGTACCGCTGAGGCAGGCACGCTTAGCGACAGAATTACAATAGGATATGTTGTGATATGCCTTTACCGGACTGATAAACGGCCACGGTCATGATATCAGAGCTCAGGGTATGAAGCGTGATGTCTAAAACGTCAAGATGCGCACATGGACAGGTGGTTTGCTAATCCATCAGCAATCATTACGAACACGGCCAGAAGCAAAGACTGCGGGTTCACGATTCGGAGGCATCGCGGCTCAAGTCAAGGTGCAGGTAGTTGTTAACCTACTTGGAGGATCATGGGACTTAGTAAGTAAGGCTATAAGTAATTACCCCAATTGGGGTTGTAAGTATAGTTAGCCTAATAATAACTCTAGTTACTAAGTCCCATGATCCTTTAAGTAGTGTCGGGTCTTGGGGACGATGCTCTCAACAGGTCTTCACTTTGCCCGCACGGATCACGTTGGAGGGCCGGGCTCTCTTTGAGAATCTGTGTAGGCATCTGTGTTTTTGAGCTAGACCCAAGAGTAACCTAGGAATAAAAAGGGTGCCCTTTTTGGGATAAAGGGGATTATAAGGGAACCTGAACCCTTAAAAAGGGAATATAGGGCCTACTCTGGGTCCTAGTGAGGGAACGAGCAGTGGTACCGAAGCTCCATGAACCCCATTATACGGGCCTGAACACATTCCAATAGGTTTAAGAGTATGTTGAAAGTATATTGTACTATCACTCTAATTGGAACTCTAAGGAATGCTAGCTGCAAATACTTTAGCTTCTGTATTAAGCTTTATTTTGCGGATTTGGGACCCTTACTGCTCAGATTCAAAGGCTTACTTGCCGGTGTAGTCTCGGTTCAAGAATAGCATAGGGGTGAGCAACAGCGCAAGCAAGCAAACACTGCTCGACCACGACCGGCAAGACATACAAGTATTCTAGCATGAAAATACCGTCACCAGTAAAACCGCTGCATACCTGGGAGAATAACACCTGCTGTTTTAGGGGTCATGCCCGGTGAACTGTTCTGTAGGGTGTGGGCCTACAGGAAGTGCTGCTTTCTAAACCCACGCCCTAAACCCAAAAACTCTAAACCGTGCGTCAGTCAAACCCCTAAGGCCTATCGCTAACCACTAATCCCTATAAGCCCTAAAACCGTAAACCTTACACCCCTAAGCCCTAAACCATACAAACGCTAAATCCCTAAACCCCTAAACCCAACGCCTCAACCCCTAAACCTTTCAACCCAATGCCCCCAACCCCTAAACCTTTCAACTCCTGAATCCCAAAACCTGTAAACCCTAAACTCCTAGCCTCTAAACCGAAGCCCACCCTCGTCCCTAAACCCTATAAACCCTAAGCCCCTCACCCCCATAACCCGTAAATCTTAAGACCCCTTTACACAACCAAAAGCCCTAACCCCACTTGATAGACCCTAAAGCCTATAAAACCTATATAAAACAGACTTAGCATAATCCCCTGTCTACACCCTTAACTTTAACCCTATAAATAGACCCTACGCCCTAAACCCCTAACCTCTCAACCCCGAACTCCCCTAAGCCCCTAAAACCCCTAGCCCCTAAACCCTAAATCCCTAACCCCTCTAACCCCAAAGCCTAAACCCCTAACCCCTCTAATCACTAACCCCCTAAACCCCTAACCCCTCTAACCCCTAAACCCTAAACCCCAGGGCCCCTTGAGCCGGGCTTCTTTGCTACGCCAGGGCTTCGCATTCGTCGAAGGTTGTCGTATTGTCGGCAAGCCGGACATAGTACCTGGGAACGGGTCCTAAGTACCATAAAGGGTTCCTTTCAGGGCCCCTTGAAGGTTTCTATAAGGGTACTATAAGGGTTCGGGGTTTAAGGGTCCAAGGTACCTATATAGTAGAATGTAGGGTTTCTATATCAGGAATTGCTATTATGATTTGGGGGAGTATTCCCCATAACAATACCTCGGACCCTTTTGGGTCTGGGGAGGTTTGGAGTTTAGGTTTAGGTGTTACAGGGGTTTAGGGTTTAGAGGAGTTATAGGGTATATAGGGATGTACGGATTATGTAGGGGTTCCGGGGTTACGGGTTTAGGGCTTACGGGTTTAGGGGGGGTAAGGGCTTTAGGGAAGTTTAGGATACCTTTTAGGGTTTAGGGGTTAGGGGTTTTGGTGTTACTGTTAGGGACTGCAAGTAAACTCTAGGACCAGAGGAGTACCAACAGGGAGATTTGGATATTTTGCCTTCCCATCCCCGCAGAATGTGCTTTCTCAGAAATAATGTATCACTACCTGGACCCTAAGGAACCTACCTAATATGAGTTCTTTATATAAGTCCCTAGAAAGGTAGGCTATTTGGGGTTAAGGTATAGACCGTCAGGTTCTGTAGGCTGTGCTGTTCCAAGCCGCCACCGAAGCAATACAGAAAGCAAAAGGCAAAAGACACCTCGCGGTTCCTGTGGCCGGACTATCTGCTGACTCGAGCCGAAAAGAAGACACCAAGACCTTAAGCCCTAAACCTTATAAACCCTAACCCCTAAACCCCTAAACCCTAAACCCCTAAACCCCTAAACCTCTAAACCCTAAACCGTTGAGCCTTAAATCCTGAGCCCTTCAGCCGTAAAGCCAAAAGATCGTCGACTTAAGAAACCTTCGAGATCCCTGTACCCTGAAACAAGGGGGTAATTTAGGGTTTAGGGTTTAGGGGTACGGTTTATGGTTTGGGTTTAGGGTTTATGGTTTGGGGTTTAGGGTTTATGGTTTGGGGTTTAGGGTTTGGGATATGTTGAATTAATCGCGGTACCTTGGGGTCCGAGAATCTTGCAGCCAACTATGAGGTCAAAGCTTGTTGAGAAAACTACGTTGCTTACTTGGTAAAACGTTCGGACACTTTCTGCCCTGGCTCTCAGGTTGGGAATGCAAGAGAAACCAGAACCCCTACAGCAGCAGACAACAGGAAACAACAAAAGCCACACTTCCTTCACACAGACATATAATAGATTCATGATAAACCGGCCCGCCTGCCTGCCCACCAAACGGCCCACCCACCCACCCTCGCACCCGCGCCCGCACATCAAAAGTTGGGGATCCGGCTCACGCTTGTGGGTCTTCGACATGCAACCTCAGCAAGACGACCGAAACTCCCAAAAGTCTGGGTGCTAAAAGGCTTGAGATTCCCCGAATTGGCAACTATCGGGTGATCGGCTTAGGATTCGGGCAGTAGATGTTCATTTTGGACTCTGATTGCGGAGGGTTTGCGGGTTAGCCCTGCAAGCCCTCAAGAATTCTATAGAGGGTTTTGAGATGTTTGGGGATCTTACAGTAACACATAAGAAGGAACCCCCCCCAAAAAAAACACCACTGATTCAGTACTCAGGCCCGTTATTGCTTGCAATGTTGTTGGTTACTTGACTCTAAGATTAGCCTTGTCGTTATGGTGGGGCTAGAGCCAATAAAGTTACATGATATCTCATGCAGGGTCTAGGGGTTTGGGTTCAGGGTTTTGGGTTTAGGGCGTCGGGTTTCTAGAAGTCAGGACTATCTGTTTGTTCCTCATATGCTTGACTGATTACCGAAAACTGTCACCATCCAGAAATCCCGAAACTCCAAACCCCTAAACGATAAACAAACATCGGCACTAGACCTAAGAGTAACCTAGGAATAAAAAGGGTGCCCTTTTTGGTTTAAAGGGGTTTATAAGGGAACCTGAACCCTCAAAAAAGGGAATAAGGGCCTACTCTGGGTCCTAGGGTAGCTTCTACAGCAAGGCAAGGGCACAGGCCACCCTAAACCCTAAATCCTAAACCCCTTTCACAGCATAGCTCCGGCAGCCTTGAGTCCTAAACCCAATAAGACCATTGCCGTATACTACGGCACTACGGTTGATGATATAAATCCTAGGGTTCCTTTAAAGGGATCTATAAGGGGTACCTTTAAGGGGTTCCTTTAAGGGATCTATAGGGTTTAGGGTTTAGGGTTGATGATATGAATCCTGCATGACCCATAATGAGGAATAGACCATAATTCCCATAGTTTAGGGTCCTTAAGGTAATGCAGGATTTATATCATCAACCGTATTTCCTTTCGGATTTGGGGGAGACTACAGAACAGGAAAAGGCTGTCCTGGTTTTGCAGGAGATAGCGTTGGGGTTGTAGGGTGGAGGGTTCAATGTTTATACATACTGCTAGTTTCTCCACTGGCCCCTTGAGCCTCACAGCGTACAGGCACCCTTCTGTAGCCTCCCCTTACGGACGAAATTAGCAGACCGCCCCACCGCCAAAAAGGCAACCAGGGGCTACGATTGGTGCCAAGAATAGCTCGCGAAACGATCATGAGCAGAACCGTAAAACCTCAAAGACTCAGCACTGAACCATATCCCAAGGCCCTAAAGTAGTTACTTTTTGGGATTACCCAATTAATAGGATTCTAAATATGAACCCCCGAAAGGAACTACTTTAGGGCCTTAGGGTAAAGCCAACTCCACACAAAGACTGCAACCCTGTGGCGGAAGAAACCTGTGGGCCTTTGGTTTTATTTTTCGCCTCTGGCATTAAATTCCGTATTCGTGGACTCGAGAGGCTGGAGGGATGCATGGGCTTTGAGATTCCAGTTAAGTCTATCTATTGCGCCTGCTCGATCCTGAAGCATGCACGTGGGCAAGAGCACCGACAAAAAACGCGATCACACTAACAGCATCTGTGTAGCACCTGAACCCTTCAACTCACACGGCCCAACAGCTCGCTGGGACTTTCACGCACATAGCCAGGTTTCAGCCTCACATCTCGATTGCACAGTCTACTTGAAGGCTCATGGGACTTAGTAAGTAAGGTTATAAGTAGGTTATAATTAGGATAACCCCACTTAGGGGAGTTATAACCTACTTACTAAGTCCCAAGATCCTCCAAGCAGGGGTTTGGGGTGTCGGATTTCGGTCAAGGCAGCGAGTGTTGCCCTAACCCAAGCCCTGGAAGAAAACACCTGTATGAGGTCAGGGCTGAACATTCCCTAAGGGTCCATGTACCCATATAGAGATACATGGGCCCCAATGTACCTGTATAGGGACTACATTAAGGCCAATGTATATACTATATGAGTACATGGACCCTTAGGGTCAGGGCTGAACATTTGGAGAAAGGAGTTGACTCAATTGGGTTCATGCCGGGTGGTACCCGGAGACTCCAATATCCCTTAATTAAGGAATATGCCTTAAATTATAGTAGGGATCCCTAATATGATTTTAAGGTATATTCCTTAATTAAGGGGTTTTGGAGTCTCTTGGTATTCAGGAACCCACAGGCCGCTGAAGTATTGCTGGCAGCCATCCTTGAGGTACCCCTCCTAGTAATCCTGATACCCCGAAGATCCAAGTAGACAAACGGTACCTACTTTGGCTCTATCTTTATTGTAAATCGATCAGTCTGTAAGTAGTACCCACTTCAAGCTATTCGGAGTCCGCGGAATAGAAGGCCCATTTGCAAGGGATTCTAAGATACGGGGCTTTTTGGGTACCGTATAACATCACGATGCTTAGAAGGCCGACGGCCTGAAGAGAACTCAGAACCCTTCAAGGTTTGGGGTCTAGGGTTTGGGGTTATAGGGTAGGGATGTAGGGGATTGGGGGTAAGAGGGTTAGGGGTAAGGCTTAGGGATTTAGGGGTTTAGGTTTGCACTCCCTGCAACAGGACCTGGGTGTTTCACTCTTGCGCCTGGGACAAAGACTCTAAACTCACCTCTTTCTGGTCGAGATCTTTCAGAGACTGTTGGCCCAGCGCGACATGAACGCAGCCGACCAACCCCAAGTACCCTTTAACAAAGCGCTTATGGCCTTTAATAGGAGGTATATGTGGTATAATGGAGGGTAGCTGGGGGGTCTACGGAAACCCCTTCGGTTGGAGCTTAGGGCCTACAGTTGACGGTATAGGGGATGTAGGGTTGACGGTTTAGGATTTTGGGGGTTCAGACTCTGGACCTTTGAACTTTGCATAGTCAATCGAAGCCAACCAACAACCCCGTACTCCCTATTTTAGTAATTTAGGGCCGTTTTAGGTATCAAAAACCAAACCATAAGGACTGCTTGGACCCTTAGGGCAACAATGGAAAAGAAGAGCAATCGAGGGTCAGAGTCGGATTCAGTACGACAAGCTGCAGCTTGAGCAGGGAAGTTGACACATATTGACAAACTATAACCAGAAGCGGCCGTAAGATCTATGAGCCCCAAAGCCGCAATCCCCAAAAGCGCGAAAGACCGTACGCTTGAACCTGCAAACCCCAAGAATCCCTACGCCCCCGAACCTAAACCCCCTAAATCCAAAACCCAAGGCCCGAGAACCCCCAAACCCTAAACCCCCTTTCTAGAAACCTCAACCTGACTGAAACCATCCAGAGCGAGCAGCTTTGGATACCCCACCCAGATTTGCTTTTCAAGCCTTCGAGGTTTATGGTTTTGGGGCTTAAGGCTTAGAGGCTTTATAGGTTTTAGGGGTCAGGGCTTTATCGTTGGAGATCTGGGGGCTGGAGGTTAATGAGGGCTTTGTGCCTTTTGCGTTTGGGGGATTGGCTGTTGGCTTCCTGCTTTCTGGAGGACAACGCAAGTTAAGCTTTTGTAAGCTTATTGGAGGCCTTCTGGCCCTTACTTACTAGTGAAGAGTGTGCAACCATGCCATGCAACGGGGTGGTTTGAGGGAAGCCTGGGGTAGGCTCGAGGAGTTTGTGTTTTGCAGTTGGTATTGTTAAGGTCTTGCTTAGGAAACCCAAACCCTCGATTACTGCGGTTGTAATACACAATCCCTGTTTATTATTCATACTCCCAAACATGCTTTGGGTTTGGGTTTCCACAAAAGTGGGACCGCAATAATGCAAATGCCACGGCTGGCTGGAATTGCTAACCCACAGTATGCTGCTTACATTCGGAAGACGCTAGTCGTGTCCTTTGACCTTCCCAATGATTTGACACCAGCTCTTATTCTCCTAATCTGCCCTCATGAGCAAACACCCCAGCATGTGCAAACCCGAACACGAGCACTGACACGCGAGCAAACAACTGAAACAAGCCGAGACCCAGCAAAACCAGCAGCACCGCGTGCAGCACATGTAAGCGACATTACCAACGTCCGCGCATACAACTGTTCGCCAGGTACTCATTCCCCTTCATACGAGATCCCATTGGAAATCAACCCAATATGTGCACGGCATCGCTGCATGACCGAGTTTTGGGGCAGCACTTGCCCCACTCGTTGATGCTCTGCGGCCACGGGATGGTAGCCAGCACATCCCATGCACTGGATCTCGTCTGCCTCCGCACATCGGAAAGCTCAAAACCTGAACCCTATATCCCTTGGGTTGTCGGGGTGGCTGGTTCTGGGTGATGGGGCTCTGTACAGAGAGAGCGCAAGTGTGGGCCTTGACAAGTTTCGAGGGATTTGTCTGACTCTTTGACCAACATCCTCACGCCTATACTGTTCTTGCTCCTGCTCCTGCTGCAGCGGATCCTGCGACTTACTGTACCGCTATTGATACATCTACAGATACGATGATGATGCTGAAGATGCTGGTGTTGATGGGGACTATCATTCTTGCTCTGTGGGCTCGGGTGGTTCTGAGTGGACTGCACCCTATCTTAATTAGTGGACGCTATTGCTTCTCCACCTAGGTACGGCGCTTAAGGTTTGGCATGTAGCCTGCGACTTCAATTAAGCAGACTTTGCATGGAACGAAAGCCTCCGTGGATAAGGGTTGTGGATCAGGGAAATATTTAGTCGCAGCCGAAGCAGACCTGCTACGGCGCATGACTTCTCCCGTAAATGGTTGGGGGGTCTAGACACTAAACTCCGGCATCCTGCACTACTCAACTTCTCATCACTACCCATAGGCTCCATAGTAGTTCCTTTTGGGGGTTCATAAATAGAATCCTATAAGTTAACCCCAGAAAGGAGCTACTTTGGAGCCTATGGGTACTTCAACTGCTCAGTCCCGCACGAAGCAGGCGTAGCAACTGGTCTGTCCTGTCTTCGACGAGGAGGCTCTGTGTTCAGGCTCGAAGGGTTCAGGGGTTAGGGACAAGATTTCGGTATAATAATTACAGGGCCCTCCTTCCCAACCCCTAAACCCTACACCGCAACTGAGCATAAATCTTTCCGGTTTGCTGGTAAAGCTGCGGCGAAGTCAACCTCTTGTCTTCTGGAACATCCCAGACCGCCGCTTACATAGGAAAACGGTACGCCATATGTCAGTGAGTAGACGTGACTAACCTGGACTCATGTCATTGAGTAGACGAGGCGTCCAGTCAGCACCCTAAACACAAAGCCCAAATCCCAAACTTGAAAGCCGATGCCCTCCCCAGAGCCTCCAAAACCCCTTAAGGAATATACCTTAAATTCGAATAGGACCCCTAATATGATTTTAAGGCATATTGCTTAATTAAGGGGTTTGGGAGGCTCTGGGTCATCCTTCATCTATCCAGGCATTTGCGAGATGCTGCAAGAAGTTTGGGCCATGAGTCCTGTAACCCCAGAGTCTTTAAAGTCCCTCCATGCGTGTCTTCATCCGCCAATCTCCCCCTACTCAGAGGCTGGAACAATCCTAGGGCTCCTTTTTATACTACAATGTACACCGAAAACCATTCAAAAATGGGAGTTTCCGAAAATTATGGGTATCCTATTTTGGGGTCCTTACAATAAGGATCCTACTATTTGGGTACTGTATGAGGGTCCCTTTTTCTGGAAGCTCCCATATTGAAAAGTATGAATCATGTCCGGAATCTCCCTGAGGCCAGACGCCATTCAGCGAATGAAATAGTAAGAATATTTCGATTTTGCAAGCTTTTTTATAGGTTTTCCAATCTTCAGTAAGGCCAAATTCTTCATATGTAAAATATCGAGTTTTCTTTGTTACACAATCGTTTCCGAAACCGCTCTGAGGCCAGATGTCATTACCAATTGAAACTATAGAACAGTCAAACGGTTGAATTATTTTTCCCCTTCCGGTTCAAGGGAGGGCAAAGTTCGGCTTGGCTCTTGGGTGATCCCTCCTCTTGGAGACTCCTGGGTGGCTAAGAGGGCCTTAAGTTGGATAATTAGAGTTGTAAACCAAAATAGACGACTTATGACCACACTTCTAATCACTCATGAACCTCCAAGCACCTCCTGTGAAACTGTCGTAGAGTACATGTCGGCTTGTAAGGTTTGACGAAGCAACGAGGCGCGGGCGGGAGGGATACCACTGGGCGAGCCACAGAACACGAACCACGAGCACAGGTCATCCACAAACCCTCTGAACTTCTGGAAACTGAAACCCAAAATCCTAAACTCTAAACCCTAAATACTAAAACCTGAACTCTAAGCACTAAACTCTAAACCGTAAACTCCAAGCCCTAAACTCAGAGCCCTAACCCCCGAAATCTGAACCGAGAGAACGAAGAAAGGAGCCGGCCTGGGATTCGCCCATGCGCCGCGCCTGCTACATCTTGAAACTTGGGATCGTGCTATTGTAAACTCCAAAAAGTTGGAAACCTAATTATGGACAAATCGTGCTGGGGATTCCCTATACTTTACTTTTAGGGATTGAGGCTATCGGGTTTCCAACATTTAAGCTACTGCTGTATGTGGGTTTAGGGTTTAGGGGTTTAGGTGCAGGGATTAAGGGCATAGGGATTTAGGGTTAGGGGTTAAGGATTCAGGGTTTTGGGGTGTAGGGTTTAGGGGTTTAGGTGTCGGGCTTAGGGGTTGAGGGGTTTAGGGTTTAGGGGTTTAAGGGTTCGGGGTTAGGGGTTTAGGGTTTTGGGGCTTAGGGTTAAGGAGCTTGATTTAAGGTACCAGAATGGGAATAATGCGAGGGTTCCCCCATGATTGTAGCTGAAATCAACCTCCTTAGCAAGAGCCCCGTAAGGCTAGCCTGGGAATTCATGCAGAAGGGTTTGATTCAAGCAGGGGCTGTAACAGTTGGAAGAGGGTTTTTGGGGTATAGACTGATTCAGGCATTTACTGAAGACTGTCAACATGTTATCCTGAGAAACAAGCTGCAGCCCGCCACCCCCATAGCAAAATAATCATACACCAGCAGGCGGTTGGGCAAAGATTCCATGTGCCCGGTCATCCCAAGGCCTAAGTATATACTACATATATGTATACATACACATATTTTCATTATCAAACGAAAAAATATATGACAAACAAACAAATACAAGTATATCCACGTGTATATTTATATATATATATATATATACATATATATATATATACATAACCTTTGGGGCACATCCCCTAAAAACGCATCCGGCCTGACTGGCAGCATGCGCTCTGCGGAGGTCGGAGCTTCCACAGACGAGGAGCCTGGCCAGTCAGGGATTAGGTTCAGAGCTTAGGGTTTAGGGTTTGCAATAGAAAAGGGCCATACATACGCTGCATGACCAATAGTAAGGAATATACCATAATTCCCATACATAGTTTAGGGTCCTTAAGGTAATGCAGGATTTATTTCATCAACCGTAGTCGTGTATGACGTCTTCATTATGGAGCCCCCAGGTATAGCCGTTGACTCCAAAAGCTCCACCATTAGGGTTGAGGGATTCCAAGGTTCTATCATCACCCTGTGCCCCCAGGGAGATTGTTACGGGGTGCTTAAGGGGTCTCGGGCTCTAACTATGAGGTCCTTGAGGGGATAGGGTCAGAGAATATCATGCCCCGTGGTCCATGTACAAAACCACTGTATGCTCTGGCGATAAAGTACTTATGTAGGGACTACGCAAAGGCCAAAGTTATTTATGTACTATTTGGGCACATGGACCCGTAGGTATAAGAAATCGAAAACGCATAGCCACACCTGGAACCTGTGCAGGAGTCAGCCATAGTAATGAGGGCCATACACAAGGTATCTGTATCCAGTACCTACTTAGTAAAAGCCCCACTTGATATAGTCCCGAATAACATGTATGTATATTTATACAAATTTATGCATACACAAACCTATCTATCCATCAGTCTGTCTGTCTGTCTGCCTGTGTATATATGTATACAGACATACCCCTAAAGACACAACAACGTATATATGTGTATATAAACTAACATGTGGGGCGGATTTTGTGGTGCGAGGTTCAGGGTTGAGGGCTGACCTGGAATGAGTGTGGGGAGGTCGGATATTGCAAGAGGGGTGTCAACTGTTGCCTTGCGACAAACCTGAGACCCCGATTTGAACGAACGAACGAATTGGGATCTACCCAGCGATCGAGAAATGCACAAATTCTGGTCCACGTAGTTGGGAACTGTATACTTTCCTAAATTCTAACCGACAAATTTACTATCCTCAACTTCCTCAACCACTGGATCCTTTGAACCCTGTAGGGTAACCTTCAAGCCCCGGCCATCAACATCTTCCTGCCCCCGTCTCCCGTCTCCAGCCTCCTGATGCCCTGAGGCAAGGCGCTGCCCCCACCTTGAACTGAGTCTTTCGCGTTTGCTCTGCTTGTGAGACAGGGGCCAAAATCACGACAGTTGAGTTTTGTGATCGCTTTAGATATATTGGTGTACCAGATTGTAAATGAGATGGGAGCAGTATAGAGGTCCCAAGAATTACAATAGGGCTTTTGTGTGTATTAGACCTTAATCATACAGGGACTGTAATGGAATACTACCATACACTCACGACTCAAACCTCTCCCTCTATGCATTCGTTCGCCACACCTGGTCTCAAGGTCAGGGTTCAACAACACTCAACCCTGAACCCTAAGCAGTCACGCTATGGCTGCTGGGATGCTTCGCTTCGCAGACTGCTGTCTGAGTTTTTGCGACTCGACTTTTCCACAGTCGTTCATGCTGCCATCAGTTGCTGCACTCGACCGCCCCTTGTAGTCAAGCTGACCAGTTGTTCAAAGGCTGCACTATCAGGAAGAGTAAATAAATAGATAAATGTTAAACAAATAAATAAAAATACATATATATATATATATATATATATATATATATAAACAATAAGTCACAAATAACAAAGCGCCTAACAGAGACATCTTGCATCCGCAAGGCAGCTTGGAATCCCGCATCTATCGTAGTGCTCTCTTGGGGCTTTAGCGGCACTGATTATTGGTCCGAACATCCCTTCGCCCTAATAAGAAGGCCCCTAAACCCTGAACCCCAACCGTAAACTCCAAACCCCTAAACCCCTAAACCCCTAAACCCCAAACCCTAAACCCCAAACCCTAAACCCCTAAACCCCAAACCCTAAACCCCTAAACCCCTAAACCCCTGAACCCCAAACCCTAAACCCTAAACCCTAAACCCCAAACCCTGAACCCCAAAACCCCAAACCCTAAACCCCCAAACCCCCAAACCCCTAAACCCCGAACCCTAAACCCTCTGGCCTCTATCGAAGACCAGTAGTGTGCCGGTCTCTCGCTCGAGTGCGGCCAAGCGCTCCGACGAAAGCCGCAGTGCCTGCTCCTGCAACCGTTTACTGTAGGTATAGGGCTTTAGGGTATAGGGTTCTAGAGTTTAGGGTTTCAGGGTATAGGGTTTAATGTAGGAACCTGATTAAGAAACCTTGGGCCCTTTTTGGGGGTTCCTTTAAAGGGCTACTATAAGGGTTACTATAAGGGATCTGTAAGACTGTAAGGGTACTATAATCATGTAGGAACCTGATTAAGAATCCTTGGGCCTAAGGGTTCCTTTAAAGGGGTCAATATAGGATACTATAGAAAGGGTCTATATGAGGGATCTTTAAAGGGTTTAGGGTAGGAACCTGATTAAGAAACCTTGGGCCTTTATTAGGGCTCCTTGCTTGAATCCTGCTATTCCGGGGTGTGTCTTAATCAGGCTTCTACATTAAGGTTTGGGGTCTAAGGGTCTATAGGCATCCAAACCAAAAGCCGGCACTTATGTTTCAAGGTCTGGGGGGTCCCCACCAAATCCGAAATATGAAAAGAACCTACAGACGCAAGCACGCGCCACCATCCCTGTCCCTTGTTACTTCTTCTCAATATCGAAAACTTCTCGACTCGAGTAGCAGTGTTAAGGCATCCGAATCCTGATCCCGCAACCTCATGCTTGAGGTCCACAAAACTAATGTTTTAAGTTTGCCTGAAAAGTGCTCGGAATTTTGAAGCACAACCTGGTGCCTGCAATCATGTAAAACCTACTAACCAAGTCACCATTGACCACTATAGATGACAAGCCATGCTGAAAGGAGGAGACATTATCCTACCACGCATCGCCCTGTCCTGATATCAGGCCCAAGAGAGGCTGCCTAAAACTGTGAGATGCTCCGTGTTCAGTCGGCCTTTACGCAATTGATTCGGAAACTCCGAGATGCATGGATCCTGTGCAAAAGCCACGACAACACTCTTAAGCACAAAGAAACCTTCTTCTAGCCTGTTAGGCTGGAGTTGGAGTAGCACGAACTCCAGCAGGACAAGCATCATGGCCCTCGATGTAAAGCTAGAAACCCTAAAAATCAAACACTGAACACTAAACTTGACCAAACCTTACAACTTACAGCTTAAACGAAACACTCAGCCCTAAACCCTAGACCTACAGCCTCCGGCAACAGCACAAGCAGCACATCGTCGCGCATGTCGGCATCCATGACACTCAGAGTGCCGCCTCTCGTGTTCCCGGTTTAGGAAGATAAGTTTAGGAATTTAAGATATTCAAGGCTTCGGATCTAGGGCTTATAATCGGGCCCCTAAACCTCACCTGCAATGTAGCACGTAGCAGCCTTCACGCTCATAAAAGGGCTTTAATGCTTTGATAGCGTTTCTGGCATACGGCCTCAATTATTCGAATAGGGTTTGGGGGCCTCAAACCATTATCAACTACAAAACCCTGAGACGGGATCCAAGGGAACTCAATAAGTCCAAAAACAAAGATCCTGAGGCCGCAACCCCCAAATTTCCGAGCCCCCCTCCCCGCCCCCACCCCCCCGACGAAAAGTATCAACCAAACCGAACCCCCCCCCCCCTCCCCCTCCAATGCCGGTTGGCCCACTAAAGCCTCTGCAATCTTCCTCAACAAACATCCTCTTCATTCAGCCCGATACCTAGAGGCTCCATAGTAGTTCCTTTTTGGGGATCATATTTAGAATCCCCTAAGGTAACCCCAGAAAGGAACTACTATGGAGCCTACGGATAGTGGGAACCTTACAATCGTCAAGCCCTACTAAACCTTAAACCCCCCTAAACCGTAGTAAAACACCAACAAAGAGCCTCCTCGGAGTCCGTGGGGACGCCTCTCGACGCTTTGCCGCGACTTCTGCGCCCACGTCAGATACTCCTTGTGCTCTCTTGAAGTGTGTACTTAAGGTGCTTTGGGAGTTGTTGCTCAGAAGTTCTAGGGTTTACCTTGCCTTCTCTTGGGGGTCTCGTTTTGTTGGTGTGGCGACCTTTTTCAAGCTGCGGTTTGTTTGCTGGGTGTTCCCGAAGGGAGCTTACGGAGCTCAGGGCCTTATACTCAGCTGCTTAGGTTGCTCCAGGTGGCTGTCGATTTGTTGGCCCTGAACCCGCAAGCCTATGCCATACACCCGAAAACCTAAACCCTAAGCCCTAAAGCCCTAAACAACCCTAAAGCCCTAAACCCTAAAGACACAAACCCTAAACCATAAAACCTCAGCCTTACTCCCTGAAGCCCGAAATCCGAAAACATGCGTGGGGTCTTCGGGTGCTTTTCTTTCAGGGTGCCTTTGAGTCTCCATGGATCTAATACAGCGGCTTAAAAAATTCGAATAGGGTTCCTTAAAGGGTTCCCTTTAAAGGGGTATATAAGGATTACTATGAGGGGTATTATGGGGGCCTTACTGATTAGAATAAGGTTTGGGGGCCCATTATACTAGAACGATAATAAAGAATCCCCGAAATAGTATAGGTAATTATTTAGGCCCCGATATTATCTTCGAGCTACCTTGTATTCTTTCAAGCTTCCCGAGAAGGGGTTTACTGTCGGGTTTAGGGCTTAGTCTTTAGTGTTTAGGGCTTCGGTTTTAGGGTTTATGGCTTTGTTTTCAGGGTTAAGGGTTTAGATTGACAGTGGCTTCTGCAAAGGGTTTGAGGTGCTTTCTGTTGGGCTTATCTCTACGGATGCATAGAACCTCTATGGGAACTCTTATAGGAACCGTTGCGGAACCCTCAACCCTAAGCCACTCAACAGCTGAGACATCTCCTGAGCTCTTTCCCGCTCGATTTGCGAGCCGGCAAGAAGGAGAGTGGTTCCTGAAAGGCACTTTGGGGGTTCAGGTGTCTAGGCTTTACGGATTATAAGGGCTAGGGACTAGGCCTTAGGGATTAGACTTATAGAAGCTTGTAGAGCTTGAGGCGCAGGGTTAAGTTTCCGGGCGTATGGTTTAAGGGTGGTGTGTGTGTGTGTGTGTGCCCAATACCAAAGCCCTAAAAAACAACCCCTAAAGACCCTGGAACCCAGTGAAGGGGTACCATGGGTTCTATGCTCGGGTTCCCTTTAAAGGGTACTATGGGGTTCTATGCTAGGGTTCCCTTTAAAGGGTACCATGGGTTCTATGCTAGGGTTCCCTTTTATCAACTATCTGTGTGGAGTTTCGGAACCCGCCAAGAAACCCCTCCAAGTCCTCGTGGCTCTAAAACATCCTGGAACCTATCTAGGGACCTTATAACAATCAGGGGATGTGTGTGTGCATGTGCATGTGCATGTGCATGTGCATGTGCATGTGCATGTGCATGTGCATGTGGGTGTGGGTGTGGGTGTGGGTGTGGGTGTGGGTGTGGGTGTGGGTGTGGGTGTGGGTGTGGGTGTGGGTGTGGGTGTGTGGTGTGTGTGTGTGTGTGTGTGTGTGTGTGTGTGTGTGTGTGTGTGTGTGTGTGTGTGTTGTGTGTGTGTGTGTGTTGTGTGTGTTATGTGTGTGTTTGTGTTTGTGTTTGTGTTTGTGTGTGTGTGTGTGGGTGTGTGTGTGTGTGTGTATGTGTGTGGGGGTGTGGGTTTGTGGGGGTGTGGGTGTGTGGGGGTGTGGGTGTGTGGGTGTGTGGGGGTGTGGGTGTGTGGGGGTGTGGGTGTGTGGGGGTGTGGGTGTGTGGGGGTGTGGGTGTGTGGGTGGGTGTGGGTGTGTGGGTGGGTGTGGGTGTGTGGGTGGGTGTGGGTGTGTGGGTGGGTGTGGGTGTGGGTGTGGGTGTGGGTGTGGGTGTGGGTTGGGTGGGTGTGGGTGTGGGTGTGGGTGTGGGTGTGGGCGTACACGCAAAACCGTGAACCCCGCTAAATCCACCCATTATCCTTACTACTCAGAACTTTGCAACCGATAATTGCGGCTTCATTTTAAGAATCCTTTTCTCGATGATCTTCCAAAGTCTCGGGCTGCGGCCTGCGCTTCCCCGAAGAAGCTGAAGGGCACAGTAAGCGGCCTCCTTTAGCGAGGGGAGCGTCCCAACCGTGTCGTAGACAGTCCATATCAGCTGCCATCATGGAATTAGGCCCCAACAGAACATCCTAGTAATGGTTCGGCATAATTTTGCAAAGTAGTTTATGCCGGATACTTGATGTGGCGCGAAAACAAAGGAAGGTGTTACAAGGAATAACGCTTCACAAAGGCCCTCAGGTTGCTAGGGATCTTGAGGGTTTTGCGCCTGGCGGTGTAATGTAGGGGCCTTAATAATTAGTATATTATATAAGTCCTTAAAGGGTAGGTTCTTCAGGGTTACGGTAGGGTTTACAATTTACAAGTTTGGGGTTTACTTGGAGGGTCGGGGGACTTAGTAAGTAGGTAGTAAGTAGACTTATAAGCACCCTAATAGGGACCCTAATTGGGGTTATGGTACTTATAAGTCCCTAAGATAACCAGTTACTAAGTCCCCCTAAACCCTTACCCTAAACCCTATACCCTTACAGAATCCCTATAGATCCCTTTAAAGGCCTCCAAGTAGTGTCTAAGCTGTCGGAATTTGGCTTTCGCCACTTTCGCCCTCTTTTGCCCAGCACCCGCCTCGACGGTGCGCAGTGCCTCGCAGCGACGGTGTTTGCAGTTGATGTTTCATTCCGAACTTTTTGACCGCTGTATTGGGTTTAGGGTTTAGGGTTTAGGGTTTAGGGTTTAGGGTTTACTGTATACCTGTGGATCCAACCACCTATGTTGCAGGTTATGAAGGTCATGCAGCATGCACATAATTACATTACTCCAGCATCTCGTAAGCCCCAGACCACACGAGGGTTTAGGGGCTTAGGCTTATAAGCTTATCGGTTTGAAGTGTAAACACAGACCGTCTATAAACCCTAGACCCTGAACGCTCGATTCAAAGAGCCCTTAGCTAACCCTGAACTCTAAACCCTACACCTGAACCCTATATTATGAGCCCTAACTTCTGAGTTCTTCTCTCGGAAATTCCGAGAGAAGGGTCGAACACACCTGGAGGTTACCGAAAATAGGCGACGCTACTATAGAACCCTGAATAGTAGGATCCTCACTATATAAGGACCCCCAAAAATGTACCCCTACTTTTCGGAAACACGAAACCCTAAACGGTTTATAAAACCCGTATAGATAGCTTTAAGGAACCCTTATAGATCCCTTTGAAGGTACCCCTACTTTTCAGAAACTCCCACCTCAGAGTCAACGCATCGCACACTGAAAGAACCAGTCCCGGGGCCGAAGACCGACCAACGGCTTAATTCCCTAAGGGCCCATGTACTCATATAGCTATATACATAGGGTTCCTTTAAGGGTACCATAAGGGCTCCTTTAAGGGGTAAGGGTTTAGGGTATAAGGGGCCATGTACTCATCTAGCTATATACATTGGCCTTAATGCAGTCCCTATATAGGTACATTGGGGCCCATGTACCTCTATATGGGTACATGGACCCTTAGGGTTGGGCCTTGCATTAGGATTGCAGGTTTACTGTCTACTACAAGGGTTCCTTTCAGGGTCTACTGCAAAGGATCCATAAGCGTTAGATGACGCGGCCCTAAGCTTACAAGCCTTGAGCCCTAAACTTCCTAAACAACTTAACCCCCCAAACCCTAAACACTAGCCGGAGAGAGCCAAGCGTTGTGCAATGCAAGCAAGCTTAGACTCCCCTTACTAAGGCCAGAGAGAGTGCTTATGAGGCGAGTGTCTGTCTAGCTGCCTGTCTGCCCGTGCATCTATCTGGTCTATCTATCTCTTATTAATGAGTATGCACACACACACACACACACGTGTATGCAAATGAAGCTGTGAACGTATGTTTGGTTGTGTGTCGGCTTGTTTGCTTGCTTGCTGTCTTGGACTGTTTGTTTGATATGTATATAAATATACATAAGATAGATAGATAGATAGATGGATAAAACTGAACAATCACATCCAGATGTATACATATCTATATATATATATATGTATGCATGTTTACATGTGACGCACATGCGTGTATGCACACGTACATACATACGTACATACATACATACATGCATATGTATATGTAAACGTGAATGTAAACGTAAATGTATATGTATATGTGTATGTACATGTAGATGTATATGCATATGTACTTATTTATTTATTTATGTCATGCAATTCATTACCTCACATAGCTAGGATGTATACACACATTTGTACATATACATATACATATATATATATATATATATATATATATATATATATATATATATGTATACACATATGTGTCACACGTGTTGGGTTTGATTTGCAGAGCGCCTGAGAGCCGCCAGTGCTCTGGAGCCACCTCGGCGGACTGTTGTTAACATCGGGCTAGGAGCGGTAACGCCGTAATCGAGGGCTTACAAAGGACCTCATTGGGCGGCGGTTTAGGGTTTAGGGTTCAGGGTTTAGGGTTTAGGGTTCAGGGTTTAGGGTTTAGGGTCGCCCAGCCCTCGACTACTTTTGGCGCCGTCTCATTCACTTTGTTAAAACGGCGCAGAGCCCTGTACGGCCTAAATCCAAGCTTCCAGGGCCTACAGTCTCACAGTTTGGGTTCGTGAGGGATATCGGGCAAACAACCCTGGTTCGGAGCTGTAAGTTAGCGCATTTGGTTTATCCCTCAAAGGCCTAAAGCCCGAGCGGCCCTAAAACCTAAAGCCCAAAAAGCACCAGTATCATAAAGGACCGAACTTCATAAAGGACCGAACCTCCTATGACGCAACGGCAGCCTTAGACAGAAGCCGCTTGAAATTTTGCATGACAAGCACACAAACATTATCAGGGAGACATCATGTAGACTCCTGACTATTGATTCACACTTACTCCATCAGGACGTACTAGATATATCTAGATATCCCTAGCCTAAGACCTCCGAGACAGAGCGGTTCTGACCAGTTGTCTACGTTAGTCTACCAGGGGGTTCACGTACACTACCAGTATGGCATAAGGCCGCGAAAGACCATGCAAACAATGGCTTGAAGCCCTTAATTCGATAATTGTAGTAGACACCCACCCTCTAGGTACTCTTGAGTTTCCAACGCCCGCGCCTGTCATCCCCCCAAAACTTCCGATCAGCTCCTTAACACGAAGCCGCTTTAGGGTTTGTGTGGTTGTCGTTTCAGGACTTTTGAAATGCAATCAAAGCGCAGGGCAAACCCCATCTACGAGGCTCACATGCGATGAGCCTGTAAGGAAAACTGAGGCTTCAGGGCTGATAGATGATATATATATATATATATATATATATATATACACACACATATACATATGCATATGTATATGTACATGTAGATGTAGATGTATATGTCTATGTGTGTTTGTATCTATTCGTTAAATAAACATATATGTGCATATAGTTATACTTGTACATTAAATGTTCAATACTTTCTACATAGATGTGCAACAAACTAGAGCATCATCACAGGTGTGTGCTGAGCCGCCCGGTGTCCAGCTCGCCGGCAGGGAGTGGCAGGATCTGCCCGGCTGTGGCTTCTCTTAGCTTACCTTGGGTTAGTAGGGAATGGAGGAATGGTGTACAATTATTACTGCCATTACTACCATTCTTCTGTTCCCTACTCACCAAAGGTAAGTTAGGAGCTAACGAGGCTTCGCTAGGTTCCTATTACCCTAAGGGTCCATGTACCCATATAGAGATACATGGGCCCCAATGTACCTGTATAGGGACTACATTAAGGCCAATGTATATACTATATGAGTACATGGACCCTTAGGGTTAGGCTTAGGGTTCTAGTTCTGGGGTCATGGGTTGCGGGCTGAACGGGACTAGTATGGTTTGGTGCGGCTTCTTCTTTCAGGTTCTGTGGTGCAAAGTTGCAGTGCGATTTTGTTCGCCTGCACTGACGCCATGCAGCTGTAGAAGAACATGTTGAGCAGTAGGGACATTGACACGGATTCTGACTTCAGGCTTACAGGTGTTACAAGAAAAGCCTGCGCAAGCTCTTTGTGATTCTGAGATCATATCATGCATTTTTTCAACACGGTACCCCGGACGATAACGTTTGCTCCGTTGAGTGTTTTGCATCCAGCCTTCTGTTTCCAGCGGCCACCCGAACCCTAAACCCTGAACCTCAAAACCCTCAATCCAGCTCTTGAACCTTCAATCCCTAAACCCTAAACCCTAAACCCTAAACCCTGAACCCTAAACCCTGAACCCTGAACCCTGAACCCTAAACCCTGAACCCCTAAACCCTAAACCGCCGCCCAATGAGGTCCTTTGTAAGCCCTCGACCCGGTGCCAAAATCTTAAGCCTTTGACCCTTGGTCTGAAGCTCTCGACCCCGAAATCTTAGCCTTAAGGGTCCATGCTGTCGTTTAAATAATACACTTCGGCCGTTAAGAATCCCTATAATTACTTTAGGGTCAGAGTATATAGCATATGGGCACGGGGACCCTCACTGTTGATGGACAAAATCCTGCATGACGCTAAGGACTCTAAACTATGGGAACTATGGCATACTCCAAATAACGGGTAATGCAGGATTTATATCGTCAACAGTAGGGATAGGCGAACTGCACGAGCAAAGACCCTGACAGAAAGGCTGGCGGCCTCGAGGGCCAAAGGCGAATCGTCCTCACAGATCTTCACTAAACTTACCTTTGGTTAGTAGGGAATGGAAGAATGGTAGTAATAGTAGGTATAATTATACCCCATTCCTGAATTCCCTACTAACCAACGGTAAGTAGACTAAGTTGCCTCACAGTTCTTGCCATTTCTGATGTTTCTGGGTTGAGGGTTTTAAGTTCCGGGTCATTTATCAGGGTTTCGGGATGTGCATGTTGTGGTGAGTCGGCCATGGAGTTTCGGCCCTAGGGCCTAGGGTGTAGAAGTGCTAAAGCCTGTCACACTGATTGGCTCTAGGGATCTGGACTCACCTCTGAAACTGATTTTGCGACCGCGGCCCCCGAAAATACATCTATCAGCTGTACCACGACTTTTCACTTGAGCAGGACCGCGATTACAGCAACCCGCGCGAATCAGAATCGTCTGTGACCACCACAATGCTCAAAGGAAGAGCAGAAGCAAGAGCAGCAGCTGGAAAAATAACAAAAGCAACAGCAAAATCAGAGCAAGCGTAGCAGGAAGAGCAAGAGCAAGAGCAAAAGAAACAGCAAAGGCCTGAGCAACAGCAGGAGTAAGAGCAAGAGCAGGAGAAAGAGAAAAGGCAACCACAAAAGTAGGAGCAAGAGCAGGAGAAACAGAGAGAGCAGGCTCTTGTTTTTGCTCCTGCTCTTGCTTTTGGTCTTGATGCTGCTCCTGCCCTTACCTCGGATGATTGCGGGAGGACTGGCCCAAAGGATACCAAATGTGTTTTACAATTACAGCGTGTGTTTGATGCAGAGGGGGAATGGATTACTACTACTGCGACTACTGCTACTACTACTACTACTACTACTACTACTACCACTACTACCACTGCTACTACTTACCACTAGTTACTACTACGTCCTCGTACTTACTACTACTGTACTTACTACTACTTTTACTACTCACTACTTGCTACTCACTTCCTTTGTGCTCACTTCTCGCTTCTTACTACGTGCTACTTGCTACTAAGTAAATACTTACTACACTATACTGAACACTTACTACTTACGACGACCACTACTCAGAAGCCTATAAACGCCAAAATACTGAAACAAATCTTCACCAACGCAATGTAGAGCCACACATCGAAGCCTGGGGCCACCCGTCGCAGATCTCCACATTTGCCTCCTCGGCAACAGGCTTTAGTTCAAGATGGCTTCTCGGATTTAGGGTTTGGTCATTATGGGCTGTGGGATTAGTTTAAGTGTGTTTGTTGTTGAGCTAAAGCTTGGGTCTATAACTCTTCATCAATGTGGGTGAGGGCCTAGGGTGTGGCAGGTCGGGTGTTGGGGCTTGGGGCTTAGCCGCTGTCTGGTTTTGCATGAGCGAGCGGTCGCAACAATGCATGCTTTGTGTTCATTAGGCTGGCCTTTGAAAGCTGGTGCAGACAGAATCCTCCAAAACGCGAGACGGGCACGTAAAGCACACCCCAATGGTATTCCCGATCATGCTCCCACCGGTGCCGTCTGCGGCACCAGCCCTAAACCCGACTCTATAAACACTACACGAACAACTAACTCTGAAAGCCACAAACGACGCGTAAAATACTCTCAAAGAATTTGTACAGCTCCAATAAATGAGGTCTTGGGCGGTTTTGGTGTTGTTGTGGGTGCCTGTGACCTCAACTGAATGAAACCCGGGGAATCCTATGATGAAGGATCCCAAAGCGTCAACACTTGCATAACCCTCAGCGCGGATTTCGACCCTAACTACCAAAAAACACCGGTTTTACCCGAAACCCTAATAGCCTCAGCTATGTGGAAGGTATGCGCGTGATCCTGGGAACCGAGACACAAGCTTACAGTACCGTAGCACGCCGCTTTTTGTTGGGATCGCATACATCTGCATTAAGGACACGAAAACTAACCCTATATACCCTACAAGCCTTTACGAAGACAAGCGCCTCCTTCGGCGCATCCGCCCCAGTCCACAAACCGGGACAGGAGGTCTGAGCAAGATTTTGCTTCGGCTTGGTGGCTTAAGGTTGGAGGACCAATATGTTCAGGTGTAGGGTTCAGGGCATGGCGTTCAAAGACCATGCTAACTAAGGCTGCGGGGCTATGTTGACCATCCGGCTCAAGCAGCATCCAGTCCGCGCAGTCCGTGACATATCTTGGGGAGGGCTTAAGGTTGAAGCTCAGGGTTCAAGTATGCCGAGCTTTCGTCTTGGAATGTCCCCCTACCCACGCTGGATCAACTCGCTGGCTATGTTCATGTGGAGTCTCAAGAGCTGGCGAGAGAACAACAGGCCGATTTTAGAGTATTGGGTTTGGGGTTTAGGGTTTAGAGTTTTGGTTTTTGGATTTAACCCGAAACCCTAAACATAACTCTTCCTGTGGAATCCGTGTCGCCACTGCCATCAGGGCCCTTTGAAACGTAGTCTGTCCGATCAGCATCCCTCATGCGGAAGGGGCTGCCAACCCGTTTCTTGCCGAAGCCGCCTTTCGTCCTTCGCCTCGTATGGATTTAAGTTGATTGGGCTTTAAGTTTCTGGCCGTCTTGGTAAGTAGTCGAATCTTACACATCACTGCCCCTTGGGATATGCTACAGCACCCTGTAGCTCAGATCCGATCCTGGACCTAACCCGCCCTTTCTGCCACAAAAACTAGGAACACACAGAACGACGTAAATTCTACCGCCACCTCCAGCGACACATATACGTACCCCTGAAACCTTAACCCAAAGCCCCAGGAAGCCCGCAAAGAGCGTCAGAGGCTCCCTTAATCTACAAAAGCCCTAAGGGTCCATGTTCCTTGGGGTATACCTGCCCTTAAACCTGGGGCCAAAGTATAGACTATTTAGGTACATGGACCCTTAGAAAAACTCATACATAAACTCCGAACCTGGCCCTAAACCACCTTAACCCCGACTACCCTTTTTAAGGACTGATACAAGGAAATCATAATAGGGAACCCTAAAAAAGGTAGGTTGCTTCAGGGTCAAGGCAGGTTTCAAAAATATGTTGGGGCCTCCGTTTCCGCCATGGCCGCCAGCGCTGCGCGGACGCGGCAGCGCTCGGGCCCGACGAGGACCAGGACGCGAGCAGTCCTGCGTGTCCAGGACAAGAGGGCGCGCATAAAAGTGCAGCTTTTGTGTGTGTGTGTGTATATTTGCATGTGTATATATATATATATATAATATAATATAATATATATATATATACACACTTCACATTCTTGATCTGTTGGTTTATAGGTTTGTAAATGTTGTAACACTGAACAAGCATAATTCAATGTCATTTGTAGTCAAACTGTAAAGGGCTTCAAGATGGCTCGGGTTTAGTGTGTTAAGGGTCTGCGCTGGGGCTGTACCTAAACCCTGCAAAGTAGGTAAAATAATTAATGGCCCAATACCCATAAAAAGGCTATTATTCTACATACTTTGGGGGTCCGGGTAGTGGTTTCCAAGGTGTGTGGCTTTGGCATGTTGCGTGGCGTATATTTTGTAGGGAATTGGCTTTTGTTTAGGTGTTTAATGTCTTGAAGTTTTTCAGGGTTCTGAGTTTATTAAAAGCCATGGGTTTTAGAGCCTCAGGGTACTGGAGTTTCTCGAATTCAGACTTACGGAGCTGTCGCGCTCATGGCTTACTTTGTACATCCACTTACCTACTATCTTCTAAATTTCTAGACTGTAACCGAGGAGGCCGAAGATACGCACAAATTAAGACTGTCAAGCCCCATCGCCCATACAGGTTACTGACGGTTGAATAGCATTTTGTGGTACAGTACAACGTAATTTGTTCTTCTAAAAGGAAATACAAGTCAGCAGGGATACTGTTGTCAGCCATCCCGAGCCCAATACTCTACACCCTAAACCCCTAAACCCTAAAACCCCAAACCCAAAGCCATATGGGTAGTTGTCAAAATTAGGGTCCCATTTGGGTCCTTATTATAATACGGCACCTATAATTTAGGGGCCAAAAAAAGGGACCCCTATTCTAACAACTACCCATATAGTTACTACACTCCTAAACCCTGAATCCAAGAGGGCCTTTAGCCACCCAAGGGCTTTCAACCTAAGACTTCCTCAGCTCTCCAGGGTTTAGGGCTTTAGGGTCTAGGCGTTTAGGGGGTTTAGGGTTTATTTAGGGGTTTAGGGTTTAGGGGTCCAGGGTTTAGGTGTTAGGTGTTTAGGGCTTTAGGGGTTTAGGGTTTAGGGGTTTAGGGGTTTAGGGTTGATTTAGGTGTTTAGGCTTGAGGGTTTAGGGGTTTAGGGTTTATTTAGGGGTTTAGGGTTTAGTGTTCAGGGGTGTTTAGGGAGCGAACTCCCAAAGCGCCTGAGATGCTCAGCCCTCGGGGCCACCGAACGAAGCCGCACTTGCTCCAAGGACACCTTCCGCTCTCTCTGCTTGGCTTACCTTAACCCTGAATAACCTACCTTTTTAGGATTCCTTGTCATGATTTCCTTATATAAATCCTTAGAAAGAGGTAGATCCTTCAGGGTTAAGGTGGGGTTTAAGATTTGGGGGTGCAATTTGGGGTCCTGCAATTCGCGGACCCCCCTCTAAATTTTATGGTGTCCGGTTATCAACATTCTACCCTTAGAGGTTCCTCACAATCACGACTCTTCTATTGGAGGTCTACAGTAGAAGCCAGAAAGTTGGAATATCATTATCGTAACCCCTTTAAAGTAAATTATAGGGTATCCTACCATGAAACCATATTCTAACTTTCTGGAGTTCCCTGTAAGGTCAAGGTAAGCCGGTATATCAGAACTCCTTCGGGATGACTTACATAAAGGCTCTATGGGTCTCTGTTTCAGAACCCAAAAAACCAACATTGGGTTTTGCAGATAGGGTTTTGCACCCTTACACCCCAGTTTCACATGCTAAGCCCGGAAATACACGATCAGACCCAAACCGTCTGTAATCTTTGCGTCCACCAGAACTCCAGAGTGCCCTGTCCTGCCAAAATGCCCTGTGCATCCTTCATAGTGGGTATATTTCGGCACAGTGGGTAGGTAAAGTGGGACGGTTAAGGTACAAGCCTGAAGCTCATAGGGTGGGGTTGAGGGTTTGAATCCCAACCCGAAACCCTAAACCCTAAACTCCAAACCCAACCCGAAACCCTAAACCCTAAACTCCAAACCCAACCCGAAACCCTAAATCCCGCTGTCGCCTCATCCTGGCTCCCGTTGTAGTCCCAAGTGATCTGCGCAGTCTCCTCACGGAGCCAAGGGTGGATGATATAAATCCTGCATGACCCATAATAAGGAATATACCATAATTCCATAGTTTAGGGTCATTAAGGTTAGATTTACCAAAAGCTAGACCAAACATGCTTACATACAATATATAGATGTAGCTCACAAGTCTTAAGATCCGCCTCTGCAATCCTGAGTAAAGCCCGTTAGCTGGTCGAAGCCTGCGCCAGAAAGCTTAACTTACCTTACGTGGAGGCTCACGGGTACTTATAAGTAGATGTATAAGTCCGCTAGAATGGGTTTAAATGCTACGTTGAAGGCAGTACATGGGAGTTTCCAATGAGGGGTACCTTAATTTGTGGTCCTGATACTAAGGATCCTACTATTTAGGGTGCTATATTAGGCTCCCCTATTTTCGAAACCCCCACAAGCTGCTAGCCTGCAACTGTTGACTCTGCAGCTGTGGTTTGGAACTGTAGAAATTCCTAGTTATACTCCCACTTATCACTTCCCATGGGCCTCCAAGTAATCCCTGTAGAGCCTACTTTGGCCAAAAACTCGAAACTCTGCAAACCGGAACCTTTGTAGAAAACTTAGAGCCCTCCCTTGCAAGGCCTACAGCTTCGAACCTTTTGGGGGCTTGAGCTGTAGAGCCTCCCAAACCGAACACCATGAATGGGCCCTAACAGGCCATCCATGGTTGATGCATGTGGTCTTGAGGTCATTTCGTGGCTCCCCTCAACTAAGACACCATACAGCCACTGGGCACTAGGGTTTAGGATTTATCGGCCTTAGGCTTGAGGGTCTATAGCTGCGGTCTTCGACACGAGCTTCAAGGTGAGTGCATGGTCGCGGCCTTCCATATAAACTGTTGACGGCACTATGATTCTACAGCTTCAGCGGTGCAGACACGTTCATGCTCTTCCCTTTTGTTTCCTAAACCCAAAACCCTAAAACCCTAAACCCTAAAAACCCTAAAAACCTTAAATCCTAAAACCCTAGAACCCTAAACCCTAAAACCCTAAAACCCTAAACCCTAAACCCTAAACCCTAAACCCTAAAACCCTAGAACCCTAAACTCTAAACCCTAAGACCCTAAACCCTAAAATCCTAAACCCTAAGCCCTTAACCCTAAAACCCTAAAATCCTAAGCCCTAAACCCTAAAACCCTAAACCCTAAAACCCTAAAAACCCTAAACCCAAAGCCCTTAACCCTAAAACCCTAAATTCCTAAGCCCTAAACCCTAAGCCCTAAACCCTAAAACCCTAAAGCCCTAAAAACCCCAAAAGCCCCAAAAAACCCTAAACCCCAAAACCCCTAAACCGTGGAAACAAACTCCATGGCGCAAAAGCCTCCAGGCGAGCGATCAGCTTCGCAGAATGCCAGGAGCCCCGGTACTGCGCCTGGCTGGGGCTTCAGGGCTTTAGGGTTTCAGGGCTTTAGGTGTTTAGGTGTTTAGGGTTTAGGGTTTATTTAGGGGTTTAGGGTTCAGGGGTCTAGGGTTTAGGTGTAGGGTGTTAATTGCTTCAGGGTTTCAGGGCTTTACTGCTTCAGGGTTTTAGGGCCTTGGCGGCTTCAGGGCTTTAGGGCTTGAGGGCTTCAGGGCTTTAGGGTTTTTGGGGCTTTGGGGCTTTAGGGGCTTTAGGGTTTTTGGGGCTTTAGGGTTTTTGGGGCTTTAGGGATTTTGGGGCTTTAGGGTTTTAGGGCTTGAGATTTTCTGGCTTTAGGGTTTTAGGGCTTCAGGCTTTTGGGGTTAAGGGTGTTAGGGTTCAGGGTATAGGCTGTTTGGCGTCTAGGGGTGCGGAACTGGCGCCCAGGTCTTTAGGTAAGTTCTTCACCCTAAGCCACAGCTTACCCTAAGTCGTCTACATCGCAATTATAACGAAACTCGATTAGCTGGACCCATATGGGTGGTTGTCAGTATTACGGCCCCTTTTTGGGTCCTTATTATAATACGGCACCTAATATTTAGGGTACCCCAAAAAGGGACCCTAATGTTGACAACCACCCATATGCGAAACAAGTTGTGACGACTTGCAGTTTGGTCAGAAGACCGAGAGACCAGAGAGCTTCGGTAGCATCCAATGTACTGCTGATGATCTAAATCGTGCATTACCTTACGGACACTAAACTATGAGAATTATGGTATACTCCTTATTATAGGTCATGCAGGATTCAAATCATCAATCGTAGTTACGCCCCGAAACCACGAACCCTCGACCAGCTCTGCGGCCAGCGCGGTCGTTAAGCGCCCCAGGCGTCTTCTGGCGCAGCGAAACTGCAGCACTACATGCTTTGGGGTTTGGGGTCCTCAAAGCACATTCGGGGCCTAAGGTGTAAGCACTGATTGAAGAGTTTTTCAAAGAGAACCAACAAATTGCTCTTGTCCTTCAACAGGAGCGCTTACAGGCAGTACATGTGCCTAAAGCGGCACGCTCTTTAAGTGGCTGACAGAAGGATAAGCACAACCCTACCCTGAACCCTAAACCTTAAGTAGCATAGGCTAAGGACCCCTTAACAAGGCCCCTGTGGCCTCCAAGACGGCCCCAGGCTGCCACGACGCCTCTCGAGCGCTCGCAATGTCAGACATCACCGTCAACTACTTAAAGGATTATGGGACTTAGTAACTAGAAGTTATTATTAGGGTAACTAATATACTTATAACCCCAATTAGAGTACTTATAACCTTACTTACTAAGTCCCATGAGCCTCCAAGTAGGGCTAGGGTTTACGATGGCGATGATGATGACGACGTCACAATTCCTGGATAGGGTTTATATAGGATGACGATAACAATGATGATGATGATGATGATGATGATCATCATCATCATCATCATCAACATGCTGATGATGATGCTGGTGATGATACCGACAACGGTGATAATGATGCCAAAGATAGTAACGATAACGCCAGGGTATGCTATGGCGTGATGGATAGATTAGGATGAGATGGAATGGCAAAGGATGGCGTAGTAGAGGAGCCTCTAGGAGAGACGATGCAACAGAACAGAATAGGGGGTACATGTGTGAAGATCAGGCCGTTCCGTTGGCGTTTCCCCAAAATGACAAGAGAAAACCACCAGTGGAACAGAAATTGCCTTCGGCATAGTCTTGGCAGTCATTGTAGCTGAAGTTTTGGTAACTTAAAATAAATCCTTTAGCAAGAGTCCGGGTTCCTACGACCCAAACGCAAGTCAAGGAGCTGCAGCTGCTGCTCCAAAACATCATCCATATGGGTTTGAATAATTAGAGATGGGTTCCTTGTGGTCTATAGTTACTAAAAAGAATCTATAAGGGTACTATAATATGGGGACCCTATAAGACTTGGAATAGGGTTTTGGTGCCCTTTATATTACAAGTATAATAAGGACCCCCCCCCCCTCAAACAAAAAAAACAAATAATATTGGTAATTTTTTCAGCCCCTAAATTAGCAAGAGAAACGAAGAAACCCTGATCCCTCTCCGAACCCGAAGACCTAAAATCCTGAGCTCCATGCGCTTGCCTCGTCCTTGCGACGTGGAGCCGCGCTGTTCGGCGGCAGCCAAAAACCTAACACACCTGGCTCCGAGCAAAAAGTCCCTACCTACAGTAGAAGCCCAAAAGTTGGAAACCTCATAGCCTCGATCCTTAAGAGTAATGTATAGGGAATCCCAGCAGTATTTGGCCTTAATCCGGTTTCGATCTTTATGGGGTTTCCTGTAGACCCTCAAAAGTAGGTAAGGTGACGGCCCAAAACCTATTAAAGGCCATTATTCTACATACTTTGGGGGTCCAGGTAAGCGCTAAACGGGCCTAAACCCTGAAGGGTTTAGGATTTGGTGTTCCGGACTTCATTCGGGTTTAGGGCTCTGTGGTGCGCATCACTGTACCAGTCGTGTACGAGGTTGCTGTGAGCTTTGACAGGGCCTTGTAGTGGTCGTATAACCGCCTTAAACAGGTTTGGTAAGAATGGTTTTCAAGCATTTCGCAGTGTTTCATAACGGAATGAAAAGTGGCTGTGTAGAACCCCATGCAGGACTAAGTACATACATTTTAGGCACATGGAGGTTTAGGGGTATGCAAGGGTGTGGTGGGCTCTCTGGGTCTGGCAGCCTCCGAGCCAAGGATTACTTCCTGTCCTACCGCTCAAGTTCCTAAATTCTTAATACACATGCTACGCACGTGCACGGACCCTCAGGGCATATCGTAGTTCTGCTTGCCATTGCATACTGAGTCTTTGCCTGGCCTTCAACCCCAGCTACAAGTCGTCTTCGTCGCGAACCTCGCTGGGCAGTAACACCTACACACGTTCCGAAATGACTTCAAACCCTTGCGATGACAAGCAACTCTAAACCCGAAGCCCTAAACCCCAAACCCTCAACCTTTCTCAAGTGATTTGCCGGGCACAGGCCGGGCACAGCTCTGCAGCAAGAACCCGCCTGAATCTTGGTCCATCTTCTGCCTTTGCTTTCAGATTGAGAGTTAGGTTTGGGGGTTTTGGGGTTTAGGGGTTAGGGGTTTAGGGTTTAGGATTTCGGGGTTGTGTGCTAATTTTCTGACAGATCTCTGCTGTTCAGGATTTAAGGATGTTTGACGGTCTAGAAGCAGGCCCACATAGTTGCTTCTTCCGAGCCAGTCGTCGAAGAGTCTCCTCCGCTTTCCGTGATTTCCTCTATACAACTCAAGTCAGACGCGATTAAGATTAAGGTTAAGGGTTAGGGGTTTAGGACTTAATTAGAATTTGAAAATGTTATTCCAGCCATGCAGGCCAGTAGCCCGTAAAGCCCTTTCTGCGCTTTCGTTGTCTAAGCATGCTAACCGCTGTGTGTACTTGTTTTTGTTGCCTTACCTGTTGCCAGGGGAGATTTGTAATTGCCAGGCTTGGGTGGACAACTAATAAGTGTCCGAAGACAACAAAAGTCCCTCCCGAATCCCGGGCTCAGTGGGCTGTTAAGGGTCAGGGTTTGCCACGATGGCCGAATTTAGTGAGATCCCCTCATCGTCGGTATTCTAACGGCCCTTCTACTAACCCTTCTGGCAACCCGTTATGCAGCCCCCTAAGGGGACTATGGGGTCCTATAATGGGGTTCCCTTCTAGAAGCCTCTAGTACCCTGAAAGGGGGCCGTATTATGGATCCCTATATTCTGGAATCCTTCTCTTTAGAGTTTACGAAGTATGGCTTTAGGGTGTCTGGGTTTTAGGTATTTAGGGGCCTGAATAATGCCAGTATGGTTTTGGTGCAATAGGATAGTTGATCTAGGAAAGTATAGCGGAATATGACTTGGGGGTAGCAAGGCCGTATACCGCATGGCTTCGGGGTAATATGACAAATCTCCAACGTATTCACCTGTACTTTAGGGGCCACGAAAATTGCCACTACTATTTTGGAGGTTCCTCATTATATTTATAGGATAATATACCCTCAAACCCTATTGCAATTTTTGTCTGTTTATTAAGGCCCCTATATTAAAGCAGGGTCTCGGGCAACGTGGAGGCAGACCGTGGCAGCTCTGATGGTCAAACCCAGGTCGGCAAAGTTCGGCCGGTGACTTGCAGCGAGGGTTTTGGATTTTGTGTTTGGGGTTCAGGTTTGGGGTTTACGGTTTAAGGATTTAAGGTTTATAGGGTTTGGGGTTACTAAGGCTTCGGTTATGGGTTTTGCGTTAAGGTTTAGGGATTCAGGTTTTTGATAAAGGTTTAGATTTAGGATTTAGGTTAACCGACCGGTTTGGGCTTGCAAAAGACTAGAACCTGGCAGCTCAAAGGCTGCGACGGTTCAGGTCAACTCTAGAAACCCGGTGCTTCACGCAGTGGGTTCCTACTGCTGATGGACAAAATCCTGCATTACCCATTATAAGGAATATACCATAGTTCCCAGAGTTTTGAGTCCTTGGAGTCATGCAGGATTTTGTCCATCAGCAGTATGCTGTGTGTTTACAAGGTAAATGATCTACAACAGCTCTGGTGGAAATTCTGAAATACTATAGATATGTCCTCTAAACCGATAAACCCGCATCATTAGAGCAGCTCGAAGCACGAACATCCCGAGCCCCTAGAGTCCATCGGCCTCAAACCTCAGGCCTGGGTAGAGGCACACCGCAGCAAGCAAGAGTAGCGCCAAAACCATATATGGGAGTTTCCGAAAATAGGGGACCCTAACGAACTACCCTCAATTGTAGGATCCTTATTATAAGGAGGTTTGTGCCTGGCCCATTGCCCTTGGCCCATGGCAAGCACTCTACAGCAGGCAGTTCAGCGAGGCCACGGATCACCGCCCGCTCCGAAGGCGCGTCCCGAAAGTGTCGGTCTATGGCCCGGCATACCTTGACCAACATGCGACCAAGTCGGCTGGAGCCTAGGTCCGGGGCTGAATGACCGAGTTGGAACTGGCACGCAGGCAGCCCTGCTGCGTCAGGGCATGCGCCACACACACTCCACCGTCACCCGGAGGCGGCTGGCCCCAGAATAAGGTACCCCTATTTTCGGAAACCCCCATGTCAGCCTCCAGGGCCTACGGAACATGAGGCCTACTGCGCAAGCCTTAAACTGCCTCAGAATGCGTAAGCCCTGAAAAACGACAAGAAAACAACAGCAAAGACAGGGTCGTCATATATGAACACCTGAAAACTGACCATGTCCGAAAGAAACTGGGTTGGCCTTTAAACACCCTGAACAACATTTATATATAGGGTCCCTTATAAACCCAAATAAGGAAAATAAAAATGTCCTAAAATGCAACCTAGATCATGCAGCTCAGATGCAAAGTATCCCGCACCGCTTGAACGGCGACCTTGGGCACTCGCAGGTGGGACGACCAGTCCTCGCCAACGCCCCAGTCACAGTAAGAGCCTATAATAGGGCTACTATTAAAGTCCTACGATATCTATGTTATGAATCTTATTCAACTATTACTGAGTGGGGGCCGTATATAGCCAACGCCACAGTCACAGGAAGGAGGAAGAACATCAGACAATAATTGGAACAGGGTTTGGGGGTTCATCAAACTATATACCTGTATTGGGACTATAGGGGGAACCATGCCTGATAACTACACTATTCCTAAGTATTCCGACCCCCCATGATACCATGAAGATCCCGCAGGCTCGCGAGCACGTGCGCCTATGCTACGAGCTTGAGGATGATTTCGCTAGGGGTACGGTAGACTTCCGAGCATGAGGACTTGGAAACCTCAGGAGTGACAAACAGGAACTCAAGAATGCCAGGTTCCTGAATCGCCCCTTAAATATAAGGGTACCCTGTTTCCTACTCGGTGTTATAGGGGAACCAACGAAGAGGAAGGGCAAAAGGGCACCACTGGGAAACCTACTTGGAGGATCATGGGACTTAGTAAGTAAGGTTATAAGTACCATAATTGGGGGTTATAAGTATAGTTACCCTAATAGTAACCCCCAGTTACTAAGTCCCATGATCCTTTAAGTAGAATGTCATATGGGGAAACCTCAGAAGATGAAGGCGCAAAATGAAGCCTAAGCCAAATGGACCCCGTGCCCTGTACTGGGCTTTGAAGTAACCCAGGAGAAAGAAGTCTTTCCTGAGTAGTACCCTGTTCTAAAGGGTTCCTTTAAAGCATTCTACAAGGGATCCTGAAGGGGTTCTACAACGGATCTTTGGGGGTTTAGGGTCTACTAGGTTCCTGAGTCTAGACTTTTATTTATGATGGTTCCCTTTGAGTAATTGAGTAACAGGTTCCCCAAAAAGTATTGAAGTATGGTACTCCAAAGCCCCGTGAAGGTAGCCGTGACGCAAAAACATCCTTTCGCGCTTGACACTGGTCTAACCAAGCAAACAAGCCCTGCCAACCCCGAACTCTAAACTCTCGAGACCCTACTTGTCCAATAACCCAAGGACATGATAGGCCGCACTTTTTCGATTTTCGGGTTCAAGGACTGGGGGGGGGCTTACGGATTACGATGCAGAGTAACACAAACATCGAAGAACCTATAAAAGTTTGCAGGGCTGGTATTGGGAACAAGCAACACATGTGTATGTGTGTATATATATATATATATATATATATATACATTATACATATGCACATGCAGAAAACAATAACATGTCATGGATATGTCTATATATATATATATAGTATGTACATGTATGGACAAATAAACACTTCTATATATATATATGTATGTATATACATACCCATACTATACACTCATGCTTTATCTCTGTATATAATACAACTCTGCCCTATCGACCTCAACATGGCCCGCCGAGCCATTAACCCCGAAACCCTTACACCGGAACCACTAACCCTAAACACTAAAACTCTGAACCCCTAAGCCCTGAATGTTTCGAACCTGCCTGGAACTTCCATGGAACCCTTTACGCTTACAGAACCCTTGTAGAACCCATATTTCCTCTTGTAGGATACTGAAAAGAACCCTCATAGAAAACCTAAGTTGGCTATCAGTAGTCTCCTCGAGCTCAGCTGGAATGGTCGGGATGTCGCCGAATGGGCCGACCTGGCAAAAAAAAACGCATCGCGACAACAACTTGAATTGCTGGTGTGCTTGTCTCCGAGTGTGCTTCCAAAAATAGGTTTGAGAACTAGAGGCTTGGAGGAGTTCAGGACTAGGGACGGAGGGGGTAGAAACATGGGGTTTCACAGATCTATACTGATGTTTGGGCGCTCAGTGTCCAGGGCCTCCCCGGTAATCCTACGACGGATCAGGAACGTATGGCGTCGCGGGATCGTTTCCTGCGAACCGACACCCCAGAACCTACATCTCCCTGAGGGTCCATGTACCCATATAGAGATACATGGGCCCCAATGTACCTATATAGGGAATACATTAAGGCCAATGTGTATATACTATATGAGTACATGGACCCTTATGCCCAAAAACCCTCATCGAACCCTTATAGATCCCTTAAAGGATCCCTTATGGTACCCTTAAAGGACCCTTCACTATTTGAGTACATGGACCCTTAGGGTCTTAAACCGGAACCATCAAGGAACCGGCGAAACACCGGCCCTTGCTCGATGCGTCACCAGGCTATCCGGGATGATAGGACGGACTGCCCGCCAGCTTGCGCGTTCTTTCAATGCAGAGTTTCACTATATCTATATCTGCAGCTTTAACCTTTCTAAAAAATATGTGTATGTATATATACATATATATATATATACATTTTTATATATATATATAGAGAGAGAGAGGAGAGACGAATGTGTATGTACTCGTAGCACGTGTCACTCACATGAACCGCTGGTGGCACAGTCCCAAGCAGTTGAATCGCAAACCCTTTGCCCTAAACGCTAAACACTAAAGTCTAAACCCTAAACTCTGTTCCGGGTCTACGATTGACACTACAACTTGTGGGTATATGGGCCTCGAATTAGCTGCGCCGTGCTAAACCCTAGATGTGAGTTCCTTGAATTAGCTGCGTCGTGCTAAACCCTAGATGCGAGTTCTTTTAAGACCGCCAGACCCAAACAACAGTAGTGCTTTTCGATATCCCCATCGGTGTTTACCATAACAATGAAACGACAAATGACCCCTAGGGATTTACCTTTTATACAGCAAGGCATCCTTCGTCAGGTGCCTTCGGGAGGAGATCGAGCAAGCTCCGCGCTCGCCGTCGCTCCTTCACTACTTGGAGAGTCATGTGACTTAGTAAGTAGAGGTATAAGTACCGAAATTGGGGCTATAAGTATACCTACCCCAATGATAGCACCAGCCCCGTTATGTTACTAAGTCTCATGACCCCTTCAAGTAGCATGAACCCCCAGCCTCTCATAGGACTCACACGTTAACTGTTAACGGCTTTCGGTCCACAGACGCTGAACTATATAGGGCATGTTGGCCGTTTAGAGCCTGACCCTCAGGCTCGGCGTCTAAGATCGCCAAAATGGAGTTTCCGAAAATAGGGGACCCTAATAGAGGAGCCTAGATGGTAGGATCTTTATTATCAGGACCCCCAAAAAGCTACCCCTAATTTGCGGAAACTCCCAAATACTGCTTGAGAGAATATTTCGGATTTAGGGCTGGCTCGGATGAGGGTTCTGAGTTCTGGGTTTAAGTCTGCTTGGGGTTTGCGGCCGTAGGGTTTAGGGTTTAGGGTTTAGGGTTCGCTAATGTGCTTTTCTCAGCTAAGGGACCTCGTGAGGACGGCCATGGGGTCCCAAGTTTCTTGAGGAGCCTCTGGGTCCCAAAGGGTCGAAGTAGTCGGGTGTAAGGTTTAATTGGGGGGGGGGGGGGGGGTTAGGGTTTAAGGGTCGAAGTAGTAGTAGTAGTAGTAGTAGTAGTAGTAGTAGTAGTAGTAGTAGTAGTAGTAGTAGTAGTAGTAGTAGTAGTAGTAGTAGTATAGTATATGGGTAGTTCTCCAAACTAGGGCCCCTTTTGGGGTCCCTTTTTTTTGTAAGTGTGCCGTACTATAGATTGAGGACCCAAAATGAGGGGCTCTAATTTAGAGAACTATGCATATAGTTTTGGGGCCGAAATACCTACCAAGTGCCTACTTAGGGTTTAGGGTTAAGGGAGGGCTCAAATAGCTACTAAAGCACCGACTATGATGGTACTTGGATCCTTTGGAGGTGAATGCTCGGCAAGACGTGCTGACGTGCTTCTTTCTATTTGTGGGTGGTTTGGGTTTCATTTGAATTTGTGTATGCATGTAGTCAGAGATTAACCAACAATTTGCATGTGTACATAAGCATACACAGTATAACATTTACACCAAATCGATAGGCAGATGGACAAACAGATCTAACGAACGATCTAACTAACAACAAGGATCGATAAGTAGATACATTGACTGATCACTGATAGACTGGCAGATAGATGAGACACTGACTGATAGCCAGATAGACTGGCAGATAGATCAGATAGATAAACGACGATCCTGTTGCTAGACGGCTCTCTGCCTTGACCATATACTTGTAGCAGCAAAAACCCTCGCCAGAGCCGATTCTGCGATTCTGCGGCTAGGATACCCAGTAACCTAAGAATAAAAAGGCCTCTCTTTTGGGTATTGGGTAACTTTATACGGAACCTAGGACTACAAAAAGGGAACTACTGGAGATCCTAGTCTCCGCAAGACGCACTGCCGCCATGCTGCCACGAGCAAGCACAGGCGTAGAGCACGCAGATATACAGATGGGCACATTTCTGAACGTATTGAACAACACAAAGCCAAAGACACCCCAAAGCCTACAATCCAAATAAATGCCAATAGCAACACCCTCAGCACAAACTAACAAAGAACAACTCCAAGGGATAAAACATGACCCATCCCCTTTCCCAATAGAAAGGGTCCTCCATGTCCCCTCCCAGGATAGCCTTGCGACCTGTGTAGGGTTTACGGTTTAGGATGTAAAACATTAACCCTATAATTTATAAATCCCTAAACCCCTAAACCGAGAACCCTAATTTAGGGAACCCTTTCTGGGAGCTGCACTCCGAGGATTAGACTTTTGCTTTGAGGCTGCTCCCAAACCAATTCTTTCTACGCAGGCATCCCCCAGAAAAGGTCTCGGGTTTGGGTCTCAGGATTTTGTGTCTTCCGGCGTCGGGTTGCAGGGTTTCATCCGCCAGAAAAGGTCTCGGGTTTGGGTCTCAGGTTCAGGGTTTTATGTCTTCCAGCGTCGGGTTGCAGGGTTTCAAATTTTTGAATCGAAGCGCAACCCCTGCAAGGTCAGGAATGGCGCGACTACAGCCCGAGCAATGCTGCCAATTTCAAGGGTTTTGGGCTCAGGGTGTAGTACGTAAGTGTAGTACAGGGGTTTAGTTCGCCATAGCATACGAACACCTAACCCTCAAGCCACTCCTGCCAACCCCTACACCCTGAAGCCCCCTAAACCCTACAAGCCTTAAATCCTCAACTCGACCCTAACCATGTTAGCCCTAAATCTTGTTATTCATATTTCAGTGTAAATTCGGCATTGATTCCGAAGCCAAGCCTAACACCAGGTCCGACTTTGGGAGCGTAGGTAGGGTTTGGGCATATAGGGGTTTATTAGGGGTTAGGGGTTTAGGCTGAGTTTGGTCCTGAATGCTTAGGGTTTACGGCTGATTGAGCTTAGGGTTGACTGTTGAGGGGTTTAGAGTTCAGGGTTGTGCATTCCGCAACAGTATCCAACAAGCGCAATCCGCAGTGCTAACAGTCATCACCGATCATATGTACAACTCAGGATCCAAGACCCGCAACCTCAGATCCCCAAATCCTCAACGGCCCGGTCCCGAACCCTAAACCTCTCGCACTAGGCGCACCTCCAGGAAGAACTTCCAGCACAGCCTCTGACACCTTCGCTACCTGCATCCGGGTGTGCATGTCTGAAGCTACACTCTTTCCAACATGTCCTTTACTCCTAAATCCAAAGCCTGAACCTTAAGCCTTCAATACTAAAACCCAAAACCTGTCTATGCAAGGAAGGATATGGGACCTTATCCTCAGCTTAAGTTTGCCTGGTTTGCAGTCGGTTGGGGTGGGGCGTTTCAACACCTTTGGATTTCATATCTAAGTTGGGACTGAATTTCGAAAACAACTTCAGGTGCAGCAAAGTATGTGCGGATCTGCGCCGTCCGTTCAACCGTTCTGGAACGCTATCAGCCCAAGGCTTTTAGGTTCACCTGTTTCGCAGCTTTCTATCAGGGTTCGATGACGGGGGCTCCATAAGCCTTTGTGGTATACCCTAAATCCTAAACCCTAAACCTCTAAACCTGCTAGGTCCCCTAAGTTCACACACCGAGATCTTAGGTTTTGAACAATCAACCTACACTCCACCCTAAACCCTAAACCCTACAACCCTAAACCCTGCAACCCTAAACCCCTAAACCCTACACTCCCTTTCTGACACGGGTATTTCGCCATGGGCTTTTCCGAGGTCGCTCCGGAGAGAGCTCTCCTCTTCTCCGTCCTTTTGTCAAAGGGGAAAAGGAGGGACCCTTAATGGGGACCCCTACCCTATAGTGAGCTATATAATGGGTATATAATAGCTATATTAAGGGCATATACCTAGGGGTCCTTATTAAGGGTCCCTCCTTTTACCCATGGATTTTGCAAAGCTCTATCTTAAAGGTATAGCTACTCCCAGAGGGTGCAACGGTTGATGATATAAAACCTGCATTACCCATAATAAGGGATATACCATAGTTCCCATAGTTTAAAGTCCTTAAGGTAATGCAGGATTTATATCATCAACAGAAGTACTCCCTAGCTTAGTACTTCAGGGCCTTTGCAGGTATCAACAACCACAAACAAGGACTACTTGGACCCTTAGGGACTTAGTATAGCTACTTTTAACCCCAAATAGGGTACTTGTAACCTTACTTACTAAGTCCCATGATCCTGCAAGTAGGGTGCTGGGTTTGAAGCCAAGGGTTCATGAAAACTAGGCTGCTCTGACATTTGACGTGCTGTTTAAGGTGCTTTTCTCCTAGAGTGCCATGCTGGGCCATGCTGGTGCTCGCAGTCGTAGTTTGTGTTTTACGGCTTTGCAGCATGGCCCCAGATTTGATGAACCCCGCCTGTACCCCACATGCCTGGTCCTGAATTAACCCTAATTCCCCTTGTCCTGAATTAACCATGCATTTCCCCACCTGAGTTTAGCTAAATTTTCCTGGACCCTGAATCAACTCCCTGAACCTAACCCTACACCCTAAATCCCTGAACCCTCAAACCCCAAAACACCTAATGAATCCCCACCTATCGGGAAGGTTTAGCAGTTTAAGAATAATAGTACAGCCCTATAGGTCCAAGTACCCAATTATCATATACTCCCCAAAATAGTAACCTACATGACTATTATCCCAAACCCGAGTACCTAATGATTGGGTCCTTTGGACCCTTAGGGCAGAGGGACCCGCAGAACCCTAAACCCTAAACCCTAATATACGGTTGATGATATAAACCCTGCATGACCCATCATAAGGAATATACCATAATCCCCATAGTTTAAGGTCCTTAAGGTAATGCAGGATTTATATCATCAACCTAAACCCTAAAACCCTATAGATCCCTTAAAGGAGCCCCTTAAAGGTACCCTTATAGATCCCTTTAAAGGAACCCTAGGATTTATATCATCAACCGTAGTACCCTTAATAGGGGCGCCTTGCTCACCCGTTCGGACCAGCCGGTGCTGCTGCGCGATTCGGGTGCCAGCTGCACGGAAACCGCGGCGAAGTCCAGGTCCTCTTGACCCAATGGGTTTCGGGTTAAGTGTTTTTTAAGGGTTAAGGGTTTAGGGCTTTATCTATAGGGTTTTGGAGTTTAGGGTTTAGGGTTTAGGGAACATGCACTACCATTATGGAATGAGGCCCCAACAAATGGTAACCCCCTTGGTTTCTGTGTTTTTGTTTAGAGCTCCTGGTTGCGACTGCTTCTGGAGTGGCTGTATGTTTAGGACGTAAGGTTTAGGGTATATGCATTCACAGTCTATACTGTGGCCTCAGATACTTCTTAAATTGTGACTAACGACTTGAAAGCCAAAGTACAAACGGTGCAAGTACCCGGACACTTTGGGTCAGGGCATGAAAACATACCAGAAAGGTTCTGTTAGGTTCCGGATGTTAGATGATTTTGGGGGGTTTAAGCTTTAGGGGACTACACGGGTTCTCTTCATCGGGATTTGGGGTTTTCATTATGTGGACACTTATGGCTTACACTGTACTGTAGTGGTTCGCAATCTTGTCTAGGTGTCCGCGGCTTGAAAATTCACGCTCCGCAGCCCCAACGCGCGCGACGAAGCATAAACTCCAAGAGCAACCGCCAAACCCTAGGAAGCTCAAACCCTGGCCCTAAACGCGGTAAACCCCCAAAGTCAACGGGGCACCCATAAATAAGGGTTACAAAGGAGCCCTTAAGGAACCCCCTGAAAAGAAGCCCAGGAAAGGACGCCTCGTCCGGTGATCGCTCCTGACAAGCGTCGTAGATGCATTCAAATTGCACGGGGCTCTTAAGAAACGAGAGTATACCATCTTATACTATATTGCGGTATACTCTAGTATGTAATATCATAATGTCATGTGTGGTATCATCTGCTGAATTCAGCCCCTGCATCAGTCACTCCATGAATACCGCTTGCAGCTACGCTGACGCTTAAAGGAGATGTCTTACTGAACCTTAAGCCCAACATCCCACATGCCAAGTCCCAAAAACACAAACCCTCGAGCCTCAAGCCTTCCTTGGATCACCGGCTCGGGCAACCTGTTATTCCAAGCATACTCTTTGCACAGGGACCAGATTCGGAACACCTGTACTGAAACCTCCAATACAACCTTCAATATACCCTGGCAAAAACACCCAACACAACTTTGCGACGCTTCATGCAGCCCTTGATTGCACACAGAACACAATACAACCTTCCACACAATGGCCCAGTGTGCCTAGTAAGACAAGGACTACTTTAAGGCCAATGTATATACTATGTGGGTACATGGACCCTGAGGGTAGGGCGACTGTAAAGGAAGCGTATCAGTTGCCGCTCAACCCTTAACTCACCAAACATTTGCATTAGAACTGAACTTAACCCTGAACCCCAGACCCTAATCCCCTATAAACCCTAAACCCGAAACTTACCAAACATTTGCATTGGGACTTAACCCGGCCCTTGACCCCCAAACCCTAAACCCCCTACCCTAGACCCCTATTAAACCCTACACCTAAACCCAAAACCCTGAACCCCCTATAACCCCTTAAGCCTCTTACCTAAACCCTAAACCCCTGTAAACCCTAAACCCACCCCCTGTAAACCCTAAATCCCTGCAAACCCTAAACCCTGAACCCTAAACCGCTAAACCCTCAGCCCTAAACGACTATAAACCCTAAACCCTGAACCCTGAAGCCCCTACACTCGAAGCCTCGGAGAGGTTCAGGAGGCTCTCGGCCATGGTTTTGCCAAGGCCGGGCGCGCCGCCTCCGGACGGCAGATGCAGCGTTCTACAAGGGCTTCTTGAGGGTTTCGTAGTGTTGTTTATAACTCTTTTAATCCTGCCCGATCCTCCCAACTGACATAAGGCGATTTCGCTAGGGTTCAGGGTTTTGGGCTTCGTAGTTTCAGAGGGACTTACACGACTGTCTTCACAGGCGTTTAGTTGGTGCCAGAATTCATGCATTAAAAGAATATATTCTACCAAAAACGATAAAACAAGTTATAAGGCTTCAGGGGTTGAGGGGCGGGGTCTGGGGTTGTGGGTTAAAAGCTACAACCTTAAGCCTCAACCTTAGACCTTTAACACCGAACCATGGAAACATAATGCAAGAGCCACAATAGTTAGAATAGAGTATCAGGATTTGCTATAGTATGCTTGTGTTAAGAATCCCTAAGAAATAGTTCTGACAATTTGCCATGCTTCTATACTCAATCCTAAACCCTCAACCCCTCCTTCGATATCTACGTCGAAGAAAACATGCCGCCTGTTGCCGTGGCTCTTCGCTCGGCAAGGACGGCCGCATAAAGCCTTTCAGAATTTGGAGCTTCGAGGTTGGTCAAAGTTGGTTTTCAGGTTTCTGGGTTGCAGTAGGGATTAAGATTTTGGGCCTTGGATGTTGGGCATTTCGGGGTCGGCTTAGGGCTTTGAGTTTGAGGTCGTTATTGCTGTGCTTACGGGTGTGGCGTCCCAAATCCTCGCAATGTGAGTCCTTAGAGTCTTCAGGCGGTTTAGGAGCTTGAAGGTTGGGGTTCAGGGTGCCATCGAATAGAAGTTAACCCTTGCTATTCAACATTCAATGCCCACTTCCATCCTTCGGTAACAACCAACCGCTCATGTGGCTGGTTGTATAGCTCTATGGTGGCCTGATCTTGCAAACCGTGACAGTTGCTGCTGGTGGGTATAGGGCTTAGGGCATCATCCCATTGCACACGGCTCGTTTTGGTGATCGCTGCGCTGAAAGCACGCTTCAACAAACGCAGAAGCCAAGGCCAAATATTCAGCATGTCAATAATAACAACCCAAAAGGGTCCAAACATACTGCGATTATGCAAGTAGGTATGAATCAGGTCGCCAATAGGTCCCCAAAACCAACATGAGGACATTAGGATTGTCTTTAAGGTAGCCTAATTCCACCCCTGGGTCGGGACCGGTAGTGGCCTGAGGTAAGGTCTGTGCCGAGATGGTACACCCCGGAGGCAACAACGTACGTGTGCCATCAGACCAGGACGGAAAGGTGACTGGTCTGGGCAAGTCTAGCCGGGTTCGTCTTTTGTGGCCATCCGTCGACCTTGTGAAGGAGGCATGTCGGCCAAGCCAAGCTGAACAACAGTATCGCAGCCACCAAGCCGCAAGCACTATATTGGCCCAAAGCCCTCAACCCTAAACCTTACTTCCTTTAATTACGGTCTGAGCCCTAAACCCTAAACCCTGATGTGGAGTTGGCCATGTGCCCCCCCGAACTCCAGGTCCTGGGCCCACGCAGCAACTGCTATGAAGAGGATTCTACAGCTCTAGAACCCAAATCCAAAACCCTAAAGGCCAATAAAGCCCTCGACCCCATAAAATGCTACAACATACTAGATAATCCTACAAGATACTGGTAAAGTATAACAACCCCCGAGTCAGATCCTGTGAAAGAAAGTCCACCAACTTAAAAGAAGACACTGAAACTCACAGGGGGCTTGATCTATATAGCCCTGATGGTCCATGTATCCACATATAGAGATACATGGGCCCCAATGTACCTATATAGAGACTACATTAAGGCCAAGGTATATACTATATGAGTACATGGACCCTTAGGGTAGGGTTAATTTTCGAGCGCTTAGGGTCTATCATCTGACACCTGCAAGAACCGTGCGTTTCAGTAATGATTCTCTTGCATAAATGGCGAGGTCCTAAACCCTAAACCCTAAACTCCATAGATCCCTTTAAGGAACCCTATAGATCCCTTTCAGGAGCCCTTACTGAGTCCCCTGCCCCTCCTAAACCCTAAACCGAGGACCCCAAGCAGTGCCTGGCACTTAGCCTCGCCCGATGCTCGCCCAGCAGCAGCAACTTGCCTGACGAAATCAACTTAGGGATTTAGGGCTTAGGGTTCATATGACGTAGAAGAGGCAAACTCGACTTAGGGTAGGGTCCAAATGGTCCTTATTTATGGTCTTTTGATACCTACAACGACCCTAAAATACTAAAATCAGGAACTTGGAAACTCTGGGCTAGGGTTTAAGGTTCATATGACGTAAAAGAGCGAAACTCGACTAAGCTGTTCTTCATTTTTCAGGGTTGAGGGTTGAGAGTTTCTGAGTTTGGGGCTTAGAGCGGAGTCCAACTTACCTCGTAGTTTGGTAGCTTTGGAAAGGCTTTCACATGCCATTCTAAATTACAAGATGAAGACCTTGCGACTTAACTTAAGGTATCAAGTGAAGAACACAAAACCCACTTTCTGATGGCCCGCGGTTACAGCCAGTTGCAGCGGTTCCTTGCTTCATTTAGTCCGTCCCAGTGCCTTGTCACTAGACCGCTTGGAAGATTCGCTGAGTGTCTAAGCAATTGTGTCTCGAGGTGGGCCGCCCTAGATTTACCCAGAGTCATACATCGAAAACCCGGATTACACTCACAAGCACAGCCTCGATGCTGGAAACTGTGCTGAAGTGTGGTCCCCGGTCCTTTGTCTAATATCTGTCTTTGGCGATCTGTAGTAAGGGAAACAAGAAAACCACAGAGAGCTGCTGTGCATGCGAACAGATGCTAATACACAAACTCCGCCTGTGGACTCTGAAACACAACATCAGGGCATCAAATCTTCCGTAGATGTCAGAAGAACAGAACCAGAGCCACGGACGCTCATAAGAACCGGAGGAATGCAAAGAAACATGATGAACCATGCAGACTTGTAGCACAATCGATTGACAAATGAAGCCTACCCTTAGAATTGTGGAAACCTCGGAACCAAATGTGCCTGCTTTCACCACCACAGGCGGCCTCGGACACACCGAGGCCTCATTCCCAACGATCACGTGCGTTGAGGATTTTCAGGGAAGAGGGATGTAAGGTTGGAGGTGGGCTTCATAAGGCAAGTAAATCATCAGGGATGTGGTGCCAATGTAAGTTCACGTCTTGGGATTCGTGATGAAGGTTAGGCTAGCGCATCATTGTTTGGCATTTTCGAGATGTCGCAGACGGGGATTGAAGAGTATACAAAACCCTAAGGGTCCATGTACCCATATAGAGATACATGGGCCCCATGTACCTATATAGGGACTACATTAAGGCCAATGTAAATACTATATGAGTACATGGACCCTTAGGGAAATAGAGCTACGACATGCTACCCCATTCTCGGTCCGAAGATTGTAAAGTTGCCGTTTCACCTCGGATCAAAGAACCAACACTGTGCTCATGCATGCAACAGCATTTCTGTATATGCATTCACAGGTTGCGAAACGAATGTCGATGTCTGTGTGTATATATGTATATGGAAGTGTATATGGCTATGTGTATACATATGCATCTGTATATGTGTATATATATATGTATATGTATATGTATATATATATACATATATGTATATGTATATGTATATGTATATGTACGTGTACGTGTACGTGTATGTGTATATATGTACATGTATATGTATGTGTATGTGTGTATGTATACACATATGTGCTTATGATTGTATACGTGTTTGTATACGTGCATGCATATGTACATGTATATGTATCTGTATATGTATATCCATATGTACATGTACATCTATATACACATTGACACATGTACGTGTATGTGTACATGCATATGTATGAGAATTTGTACCTGTGTCTGCAAATGCAATTTGCAGTAGTTTCCGTAGACGAAGACGTACACGTATAGGTATATGTACATGTGCATGTAGGTGTAGATGTACATGTACATGTACAGGTGTACATGTACACATCTACGTATACATGCACATACACATAGACATATACATATACGTGTACATGCATATGTGCACATGCCTCTATTTACACATACGTATACATACACATGCAAAACAATTGAAATTAAAGTCTGCTCACGGAACTGAATGGGATCGACGGTAGTAAACTTTGGAAACCACGGTTTTTCCTGCCTTCAGCATGCTCAAAACACCCTCGCGGAGGACTGCTTATGCGGCAAGCCGTTTGCAAAAAGTCTTATCCACAACACGACACGTTTCGCTGCCCAAATCGTGCAAAAAAAAACAGGTTAGACATAAAAGTGAAATGTATTGACAAGTTGTCTACGGTTCAGGGTTCGGGAAATAAATCGAAGCATGACGGAGGTTGCCCATTTGGATCCGAGACTTCGGGCTTACAATTCCGGTTTGCGGCTGGCGATCAAGGCTTGGGCGTTTGAGGCAGTGCATACAAATTTCCATGCGCGCATGCACAAAACATGCTGAATGCATGACCAGCGGCTCGGATATCCACGGCAGGGATCTCAGCCTCAGGACCTGGAAATTTCCAGCTTGATCTGGCTGCGTCCAAGCTTCTTGTTTGACCTTTGAGCCCTGAATTAACCAATACCTTGCAAGCTTCGGTAGAGGTCAGAAGCTGTTGAGATGTTGTGATAGTTGTGCTCAGCCGAAATGAAGAACCGCTGACCTCGGAAGAGCATTCCAGCTACAATGGTGTTTCGGATGTGTCCGAACCCTAAGGGTCCATGTACTCATATAGTATATACATTGGCCTTAATGTAGTCCCTACATAGGTACTTTGGGCCCATGTATCTCTGTATGGGCACATGGACCCTTAGGGGAATTGAAACCGATGAGCAACAGGCAAGATAGACGGGCGAAGAATGCACAAGACTGCGTGGACTTCCTACAGCATCCAGCGACAGCGGGCTTGAAAGTTACGGAATGAATATCTCAGGCAACCGCTCGGAACCATGTTGGGAGAATCAGGTACTCTGACCAACCATGCTTCAGTAGCAGCGCGGTCCTTCTCGCTGTCTCTTCGTAAAATACTCATGCATAGTCCTCGTCAAGTCTTGGACCTCGGTTTCTCAACCTCCGTTTCGTTCCACTCAATAAATCAAGTTGTCCGAATAGTCCGAATAATCTCGCCCTGGTGACGGCATGTGTTGCTACATGGAACGTCAACTGCACGAATGCACTACTTACCAAGAAGCTAGTGTTCACCGGACCTTTATCAATCCACCCTCCTACCCGGCAAGAGAACAGATGCAGCTCTAGTGTCAATGGGCATTTGCACAGCTGCAACCACTCAACGCCAGGGGTTTGTTCAAATGTTGAGTTCCAGGTGACCGCACAATCAAAAAGCCCTTCATATCGCGTAGAAGCAGACGCAACACAAGGCGAACCACCGCCGCTAGCCCCTAAATCGATCCATCTCAAGCAACCTGTAAAGACTGACCAGAGTACTCGCTACAAGCTCCGAAAACATCCGGTAACTCCTTCGGCCTAGACTCCAGTTCTGGGAAACATGAAAACTGCTTCCAAAGCTGACGCAAGGCGAGTCGCATACAAGACCGAATGTAAACCCCTACCTGCCCGCCCTGGAGCCCATACCCTCAGCCCTACATCGGAGGGCAAGCCTCGACATCATTCCTCCGCACCCGATAGTTCGAACTTACAACTGCCACTGCAGGTGCTGACCCATTTAGACTATTGCCACGGGGCACCTGCTTGATCTGTCCAATTAGTACGGCAGCCTAAACATATTACCAATATGATCATAAGGCTCCTCGTTAACACTCGTACATTATACCCGAACCCCTCGTCTAATTATGCAAAACACCTACATTAAGCCTCACAGGCTCTCAACTAAGAACCCCAGATTCGAATCTCAAAGGCCTAAGCTTGCCACTCAGTATCGCTCAGGAGTTCGGGGCTTAAGATTCAGGGTTTAGTTTAGGAGTTTCGAGCTCGAGGTTTCAGGGTTTTGGGTTCAGAGTTCAGGGCTTAAGGTGTCCCTAAACCCGAAACCCGCAAAAAAACCGAAGATTTCAGGCAAACTCTGGCGTGCCTTCGCCCAGGTGAGCGCTGCCATCAGTTCGGTACCTCGCTTGGGCTTCGGCCTCTTCATTTTGCCCATAGTCTCCATTGTAGTTCCTTTTTTAGGGTTTAGGGTTTAGGGTTTAGGGTTGGTTTAACCAAATACAAAACTCGGATCCTATAAGGTAACCTCAAAAAGGAACTACAAAGGAGACTACAGGCAGGAGCCGCGGGTTCCAGGAGCCGTGCCTTTTCGCGGGAGTATACTTGGAGGTTTCTGGGGTAGTTATAAGAAAGTACTTGTAGGGATAACTATGAACTGGATATGGACCTCCAAGTAGGTCCACTCTTGCTGAAAATGCAGAGTCAGCACCCTGCACGCTGCTATGCTACAAGCATGTACACACTGCTACCGCGGAAAGCTCCAAGAGGAGCCACACGACGCGGCCAAGGTGTAGGGTCTAGGCTTTTTCAGGTGCGAGCTCGGTGGGTCGAAGTGGTTTCACGGATGTTCTTGGTTGCGTAAAGAATAAAAAGTGATGACAATTTTAGGGTGCTTTAATTAGGTTGGACAAACACATAGGCTTACAGGGAACTCCAGAAAGTTGGAATATGGTTTCATGGTAGGATACCCTATAATTTACCATAGAAGGGTTAGGATAATCATATTCCAACTTTCTGGCTTTTACCTTAGGTGGGTTGTAATGGACTTAAGGACGAGTTTGCAGCGGTCTCTCCCCCACCTTGAGCTCTCCATGCCAAGCCAAGAGGGCTTAGGGCTTACGGGTTTAGGGTTTAAGGGGGGGGTTTGGGGGTTTAGGGGTGTAGGGGTTTGGGGATTTATAGGTTTAGGGGTTTAGGGTTTGGGGGTTTAAAGTTTAAGGGTTTAGGGTTTGGGGGTTTATGGGTTTGAGGTTCGGGGGTTTAGGGGTTTAAGGTTCGGGGTTTATAGGTTGAGGGTTTGGGGGTTTAGGAGTTTAAGGTTTGGGGGTTTATGGGTTTTGGGGTTTGGGGGTTTAGGGGTTTAGGGGTTTAGGGTTTGGGCTTTAGGGGTTTAGGGTTTGAGGGTTTAATTATGGGTTTAGGGTTTGGGAGTTTCCGGGACTAGGTTTGGGGGGTTTATGGGTTTAGGGTTTGGGGGTTTGGGGTTTAGGGTTTGGGGGAATTCTGGGTTTTGGGTTTGGGGGTTTAGGTTTTTGGGGGTTTAGGGGTTTTCGCGTGGAGGGATTTATAGAAATTGGGTTTAGAGGCTTCGGGTTGAGGAATTTGTAGAAATGGGGTTATAGTAGAAGCCAGAAAGTTGGAACATTATGAACCTCATGCCCCTAAGAGAAAGTAGAGGGAATCCTAGCACCAATCATCCTAAATCCATGTTCCAACTTTCTGGGGTTCACTATAAGGGGTTTCGGGTTAAGGGATTACGGGTTTATGGGATTTCACAGATACTTTGCAGGTTGAAGCGAACAATACCGCTGCCAGGATTTGGCACTAACACCTTTGCATCTGAGAGCTGTATGCCTGCAGGAATGGATGGATTTTGCATGCAGGAATGGATGGATTTATGGATGGTCACATGCATTTGCATATAGTCTGGGAATCCGCACATGTAGATGAATCTGAACGTCTCTTAAAGATACACGTACTTTTCGCTGCTATAGGTACATACATGCAGACAGACACACATACATGCACCTGCGAGGGAGAGATAGAGAGAGATAGAAACGGAAAGAAAGTAATCAACACATACATAAAGAAAGACATGCTGAATGAATGCCCAAACCCTCAACCGTAATCCCTACACCGCAGACCCTCAGCGACCCTAAACCGATTCCCGTTAAAAGTCCTTGCGCAACACATAAAACTACCTTATGAAGAGCTGAAGCGACGATAATCTGCACCCCTGCACAAAGCCCTCAAAAAAACACTGTAACAAATCCTCCAATACGGGAGCCTGCATGAAAATTGACTGAGAGTTTGGATGCTTCTCTATTTAACTATAGTAATTAGTCCAGGAGCCATACGGCGAACACGAACTGTTGTGCCAATGCACTCCACGGACCATAAACCCTACCCTAAGGCCCTAAAGTAGTTTCTTTTTGCGGTTCATATTTAGAATCCTAGTAGGTAACCCCAAAAAGGAACTACTTTGGGCCTATGGGTAGACCCTAATTGCTGACCAGGGTGCCAATCGACCTCCACGGCGCCATTTTCTGTAAAGCCGCGGACGGTGGCATGGAACCTAGAACTCAACTTCCGTGCTCAGGGTTTATAAAATGGGTGGTTGTCAAACTTAGGGTCCCTTATTGGGTACCCGAAATATTAGGTGCCGTACTATACTAAGGACCCAAACAGGGACCCTACTATTGGCAACCATCCAAATAGCTCTAGGGATCAATGTCAAGAGGGAAAAAAGCTTCAGGAGATTAGGATAAAGTTTAGCGTTCAGGGTCTGGGCAGGGGACCAACTCAGTGTTCTCTGGGCTTTGGGTGGACGGCTTCACCTTCTGATCCTGACGTGGCAAGACAATGCTTGACCAAAACCTCTACTTGCAAAAAGCAGCAAACATAGCAAGCAGGCTGATGCATTGGGCTGAGATTCGCGCAAAAGACTCTCAGCCTACACAGACGTCGCTCAGAGGCCCATGCACTACCCCTGCCTGCTGAGCCTCCCAAGGTCCTGAAAGTACGATGGAAGATTCCCCAATATCCAGTAATTATAAGGAAGCCACCCGAAATCGAATTCTGTATCCAGAAAGGAACCATAAATCAGCCATAGTTTATGCTGAGTTTAATGGAACAAATCATAGTTTGTCAGTGTAGTGGAACATCAATAAAAAGCCTCCTGCAACTTAAGGTACCTTCCTTAATTTGGGGAAAGTCGGTGATCACTCGAGCACTGTACCACGGCCCCTGCCATTGGGTGTCGTCACCATGGCGAACCTCCACAGCCTTCACAAACACGGAACTCTGCCTTTTACGTCTTCGGCTACTGGAGGTTTAGTACATGATGTTTCTAGCTTCGCGTCTGGATATCAGGTCTAGGTGTGCAGCTCCCAAAGAAAAGAGGGCCAGGGTTGATCTTCACTACAAACGCAAAGATACGTAGATGTCTACAACTTGGTCCTTACGTCTGTACGCATGAACTTACCCTAAGGGTCCATGTACTCTCATATAGCTATATACCTTGGCCTTAATGTAGTCCCTATATAGGTACATTGGGGCCCATGTATCTCTATATGGGCACATGGACCCTTAGGGTTACTTATTTCACTGAGTTCGTCGTTTACTGTACCGGTCCTGAGTTACCCAGAGCCTCCAAAACCCCTTAATTAAGGAATATACCTAGAGTTCCTTAAAGGGATCTATAAGGGATCTATAGGGTTCAGGGTTTAGGGGACTCCAAAACACCTTAATTAAGGAATATACCTTATAAATTATAGTAGGATCCCTAATATGATTTTAAGGTATATTCCTTGATTAAGGGGTTTTGGAGGCTCTGGGTATGTGTGCATACCAAGGCCGGATTTGGGAGCGGCTTCTGGGGTGGGAATTCATGATTGTCATAGATGCAGGCATTCTCGGTATGGTAATAGTTGTAGTAGCAGAAGTAGCAGCATAGTAGCAGCAGTAGCAGCAGCGGCCTTCAAGGAACAGCACGATACCGCACGATGCGCTTTGTCCGTACTCTGCAGATATTTGAGAGATACACAGTAGTCAGAGGAGGTCCAACGTAATCCCAAAACCCTTAGGAGCTCCCCCCCACCCCTCGCAAGCAGTTTAGAGAGCTTCGGAAAGTATATCACCCAAACGTAGAACCTACGTAGTGTCTCATTCCGTCCGCTAAAGCCCTTGAAATCCCGCACCCAAAACCCCCCTGAAACCCTGCAGTCCCAAAGTCCGGGTCTCACCCGAAGCCCATGGCACGTCCAAAGGCATACCTTAACCCTGAAGAACCTACCTTTTTTGGGCTTCCCTATTATGATTTTCTTATATCCGTCCTTAAAAAGGTGGGTTCTTCAGGGTTAAGGTAGGGTTTACGAAAACTAGGGTCCCTTTGTTGGGGATGGGCGGTCGGGTGGTTGGGGTCCTTCTAGTAAGGATCCCACCAGACGAGCCTACATCATACCTGTAGCTGTAGTCTCCCTTGTAGTTCCTTTTTAAGGTTACCTTATAGGATCCGAGTTTTGTATTTGTTTAAACCAAAAAAGGAACTACAATGGAGACTTTAGGTAGTCCTCCTAACATCAGAAACTCCCATATCTCGGCAGTCGTAGGATGTCGTCCCTGGGAAAACATAGACGGTTTAGGTTTTAGGGGGTTAGGCTTTAGGGTTTAGGTTCCTGGTTTTGACAAGCCCCAATAAGTAGTCCAACCATGCAGAAGTACGCTAAAGTACAGCCCAAACCCATGTTCTGCGGATGCAGGCGCTCATAGCGAACCCTGTAGAACCTTACCAACATCTTAACAACAGACGGAACTACGTCAGACATAAAACACTGCCCGTTACACAAACACCGCATGTAAAGCCCTAGATATCCTATTAGACTAAGCCTGGTGAAAGAGCTAAATCGAGCCTCTCATCATTGAGGTGGCCCCTACACCCCTAAACCCATAGGACACCTGTCTGTCGTACGGTGTCCTGACTTTCCAAACCTCTAAAGTCAAGGCACTTATAGTACCCCCCCGAGCCTTTAACACCCTACTAAGACTCTGTATCAAAAGGCAACATGCACTTTAGCCCTCAGGCCCCGATATTGGGTCAGTCGCCACAGTGCCTCGCCCACAGAAATACCCAGCCTTGACAGTCTCATGGCATGGAAGGGTTCTGGTAAGGGACTCGCAGTGCGCTGTAGGGCTTTGGGGGTTGGGGTTTGGAGGTGGGGCTGCTGGTGCTACGGCTGATGATATAAATCCTGCAGTACCTTAAGGACCCTACACTATGGGAATTGTGGCATATTCCTTATTATGGGTCATGCAGGATTTATACCATCAGCCGTAGCTGAAGCCTCATTTGAACCTCGAGCTCTAGAGGGCCATGAGTTAGGTCCCACGCTTGTTTTGTGATCTTGAACTGTGAAAGCATCTTTGTGCTAACTGTTCTTATAAGAGTAAAAGAACGGCTCGACAACAAGACAAGCAAAATGTGGTTACAAACTGACAAACCTAAAATATCCTAAACCGTAAACTCCTAAACCTAGGCAAAGGGAAAAGTTCGCAACAGGGCCAACATCTCTAAATCCCCCACTCCGTTCTCCCAAGCCTGACTGCCTTGTGACACTCATCGGAAACTACGCAAGGACTCTTAGACGGAGCTGCAAGTTCTAAACTGAATATTACCCACTCCCTTAGTTCCGGACTGCTTGCTCACTTCCAACTCCGCCGGCGTCATGGCAGAAGCTGCGTAAGCGCGATCCTGATCCGACCATTCAATTTAAGTTTGGGGTGGTGCGCTTCGTGGTGCTAAATCCAACCCTAAGCCGCACTTCACAGTTTGAGCTTGTTAGTTCAAGTTGGGCTCCGGAGCTCCACGGGGCAGCAGAAACATATCCACGAGTTAGTTGGATAGTTAGGCAGCACGCGGCACCCAACTCCATCCGAGATTTGTAATTTAATACTAAGGTTCCATAGTGCACTAAACCTAATGCCTAAAGGCCTAGGCCTAATCCCAAACCCTTACCTAAAACCTAAACCCCAATTCCTAACACCCTTTGATAAGCCCCAAACCCTGCTCCCTGGATCCCTCAAACCCTAAAGCTTGAAATCCCAAGTTTGGCGACTTCATGGCTGATGAGATGCCCCGGATACAACTACTATAGGGGCCTTCACAATTAGAGTAGAGGTTTTGGGCATTACCAGACTACAACTTTAGTAAGGAATCCTAGGAACATTATCGGTCATTATTTAGGCCCCTGTACTACACGGATAATGGTACAAGGCATCTTCTACTGCCAGAGCCTAGGGTATAGGGTTCAGGACTTTAGGGTTTAGGGGTTTAGGGGTTGAGTCGGAGGGGAGGGTTTCGGATTTAGGGGTGTCGGGTTTAGCATTTAGGAGTGTGTAGAGTTCAGGGTCTAGAACTGTCCATATTTTCTTCATACCAGCAAGGAAATCCGTTTGGGTCGCTCCCCTTCTTCGAGGTACAATGGACACTCAATGTACACCCTAAACCCTAAACCCCTAAACCCTAAACCCCTAAACCCTAAACCCCTAAACCCCTAACCCTAAACCCTAAAACCCCTAAACCCCTAAACCACATAAGTCCCAAGAAAGTCCCAAGATCTCCAAAACCCTCTGAAGCTTTAGACTCCTGGCCCCCGCACCTGGAATCCGAAAATGGCGATCCTCAACTAACCCTAAGGGTCCATGTACTCATAGAGTGAAGGGTCCTTTAAGGGTACCATAAGGGATCCTTTAAGGGATCTATAAGGGTTCGATGAGGGTTTAGGGTATAAGGGTCCATGTACATTGGGGCCCATGTATCTCTATATGAGTACATGGACCCTTAGGGTGAACTAACCGCAGAATCGGAACCATCAGGCTCTCATACTGAAAGCTTGCGGACCAGAAGAACTTGGACTGCTCGGGCTGTGTTGAGCCGAAGGGGACGTTTTTCGCACATGAAGTAGCAATCTTAACGCTACAAATTCGCATGGTCCTCAAGCTGAGGTCACCATCCAGAAAAGGGAGGCTTCGTAAGGCCTAGGTAGCGGCCAATATGCGGGCCTTACTTGTTTGAAGTGTTTGTTGTTTTTGGAGGTGAATGCCGCAAGGGCTTGGGTCATGGGTCTGAAATCCCAAGCAAACCCTTCAACCGAAGTTCTACATGGTTCAGCAACCTGCAACTTAACTCCTACATCGAGAAAGCTCAGCGCCCAAAACCCAGTTTAGGCCCTAAACCTAAACCCCTAAACCCTCTGTAAACCCGAAACTGTAGCCCTAGGAGAGCTAGCACAGCCTTCGGACGAACAAAGGTCGCGATCACATCACCGAAGCGCCGAAGATCCTGGCGAAGCGACTTGAAACCAAAGGCTTCAACATCTCAATTATACATGGTTAGTAAACTAATATTTTTTTAAGGAACTGGAGCCCTGGGGAAGCCAGGGTTTATGGCTCAGGGTCTTTGTTCCTCGCTGCTCCGTGTGCGCAACAATCTTCCCTTGTCACTGCAGGAGCTCCACGGGAAAAAATCAGGAATTCGGCGCTCCCACAGAACCCCGCCTTCATGTTAGACAGAGGCCTTGACAACCAAAACATGAATAGGGGCTCGGGGTGAATTGTAGTAAAAGTGCACATGGACGTAGGAGAAAACATACTGATTCATCGAGCTCTGTATCCTAAATCCTAACTATAGTGGGTGCGGGCAAAGGACACACCCACAAGCTGGCTTTGGCCTATACATGGGGGATATTTGCAAAAATAGGCTAGTTCGTAACGCCTAAAACGGAGACATTCACCCTACATCTAGGCTTGTGTAGGTCATCTTGGGGGGCCTGGGTAGTCGCAACAGGGTTTTAGGGTATAAAGCATGATGATTATAATGAAGAGCCCTTTAAGGAGCCGCAGGGACTCTCAGGGAGGACGAACTTCCAAGGGTCCAGAGTTTCAGGGTTTAGGGATCAGGATTCAGCTGTTAACATTAGGGCTTTCGAATTCAGAGTTTTGAGTTTAGGGTTTAGTTTTGGGCCAATGCAGCCAGCCATCCTTCACGTCGATGGCCCCAGCGGCAGAAGCTGGTATCTGCGCGAAGAGGTCACTACCCTTCACGCTGAACTAGGAGGTTCGGAAAGTGTGCAAACCTAAACTTGTTCAGGCAATTGCTGTGCAGGATTCACGTGGGTACTTCCTTGGGGCTCCAAAACGCTCCATCACCTCTCATACGCAGAATGAGACCTAAACGCTTGTGCTAATTGGTGCCTATGTCCATGCCCTAACCTCCAAGAGCCTGAATGAGTACGCTAGGGTCTTTGGGGTATACGATGGTGCAATTGATCATACCTATAGTCTCCATGGTAGTTCCTTTTTTTGGTTTAACCAATCCGAATTTTAGGGATCCTAAAAGGGAACCCCAAAAAGGAGCTGCAACGGAGACTATAGGTATAAAGAAGCCTGAGGAATAGACTTGGCTTATGGTACATGCTTTGCCCTAGCGTACCTGGTAATCGGAGCCCCAGTAGACATCTAATCGAACCCTTCCAGAACTACCAGGAAGGGACCCCGAAAGTAGCAGAGCCCATGGGCTTCGTGTTCGCAACAAAGCAGCTCTTTATCTGACGATCCAGGAACGACAGGTTAATCTTTTTGGTTATGATTATAGGGATTATGTAGGGGCTACACTACCCAGAAAAGCTTAGAGGTCACCTACTGTACTACTAGGTAAGTGTCAGGAGTTCCGAAGGTTAAGGTTGGTGCTTACCTTTCGGATGTATGCGCTAGGCTTTAGGTTTCGGGGTTTGGGTTTAAGGGTTTTGGGGTGAACCCAACAACATAGCAGGGAACGGACCCTGCACGTAACAGAAGCCTTGTACAAATAGGTTACCAGACAATGACTCTAATTGATCCCTAAAATCCTTCAATCAGTAAGTAATATAGAGGTCAGCACGAATGGTGGTGGTAGCCCCGCAGCTAAGGCATTATCCTATCCCCCATCGATTCACCATCGCCTTCTTCTTATAAGAGATCTCCCTGCTGAAACCCCTATGCAACCCGTTGTCAAACACAACCCCCCTAAACCCTAAACCCTAACAGCCTTAACATGTAGCACTTGCTTTGGTCTTCTGAGCTGAGCTTCTCATGACGGCATCCTCACCCGACGAGGAAGCCACGCTTTTCTTTTCGGCGCACCCTCTTCAGCCCTAAACCCCCAACCCTATGCATGCTAAACCCTGAACCCTAAACCCCCAAATCCTAAAGAACTAACCCCTAAACCCTAAACCCTACACCCCAAACCCTAAACCCCCAAACCCTAACCCCTACACCGTCTTCGGCCTCGATCACGGAGGCGTTGGGCAAGTCTTTGACGGTGGAGTTCGGCCCATCCTGGCATCGTCTGAGTCATAGAACCCCTAAGGGTCCATGTACCCATATAGAGATACATGGGCCCCAATCTACCTATATAGAGACTACATTAAGGCCAATGTATATAAATATATATATATATATAATATATATATATATATATACTATATGAGTACATGGACCCTTAGGGGAATATAGGTTCCTTGATAGGTTCCTCGAAAGGGGATCCTGAAAAGGGGTCTACACAGGATCTACAAGGGGTCTGTCGTACAATAACACTCTGCTCTGTGACGGTTACTGTTTAAGGGTTCTGAGAGGCTTCGGGTTTGGAGTTACGGGGTTTAGGGGTTCGGGCTTTTAGGGCGTTTGGATGTCTGTTATTACTACTACCGTTCTACGACTAGGATTCTATCATTATCATTATTACTACTACTATTTATTTAAGTACTACTGTTAGTACCAGTAGTAGCTAGTAGTGTTGCTGTGGTGGATGTCAGGCTTGGGTCTCCACGAGCTCTAGACCTCCTCTGTGCCATAAAGCTCTCCCAAGCAAGTGACTTGAAGGAGATCGGAACCCGCCTGGAAGTTTCCGAAAATAACCGGGGACCCTCATATAATACCTCAAATAGTAGGATCCTTATTATAAGGACCCCAAAATAAGGTACCCCTAATTGTTGGAAACTCCCACATGAGAACCCCTTCACATAAAACATGACCCATGCATGCAGGTCAAACTCAAGCCGAATGTCTCTAGGCGCACGCAGAAAGCGGACGCGATCGTGCTCGTCGGCGTCCCACCACGTGTCTTCATCATCAGTGCCTTCGCCCTCATCAATCCGGTACAGGTAGCCGTCATCACTCACAGCGATGAGGCACGACGTCTTGTACAAGCCGACGCAGAGCTTCGTGGACTCGAGCGTTTCCACGCACCACAGCCATGGCCATGGCCGCAACCACCGACCGCCCCAACAGGCTCGCGTGTGCACCCTGGTTCCGGCACGTCGGGGCCAACAAGATATACCCCATGGTAAGGTCGAGTCTCCACGACTCCTTTTGCGAAGTTTTCATAGGCATGGGTCCATGCAAAGCCAGACATACTGCGAATGTTGAGACTGCCAAGCCATGGCGGACTACACACAACCTCCAGCTTCCCCATCCAAAGTACATGGTTAAAACCAAGCTACAAAGCCGGAAACCATAAAATAGTGAACCTCTACAGGCCTAATCCCCCAAAGCGAAACGGAAAGCACAAGAAGGCCGGAAACCCTAAACCCGATATTTGGAAGCCCTGAACTAAGACCTTCAAGATCTTGACTGCAACGCTTGCAGCCGGGACCCTTACATTGCGAAAAGATACCCCTAAACCCTACTCAA